TTTTATGGTTTATCTTGTACAAACTACAATACACCATATTCATATAGTCTCAGTTTACACTGTATATGTATATATAATAATAACAATAATAATGATAATCGAGGAACAACATATGTAGGACATTTTTAAACAAGAACTGACTTTATCAGAGACAAGGCATCATTTCGTGCAAGCATACTCACAATAACATGTCAACAATGTCATGATTTAGATCCACGAAGTGTGTTTGCACGAAAAGGTCGTCGGTTTCAACTGAAAGGAGAGTTAGTCGGGCTCGAAAGATTAAACAAACATCACAAACACGGGTATGTATGAATGAGTTATTGCCAACCCCTATATGGCTGAGGACGTCAGTTACTTTGACTCCTTCGTCATTTCTCGGGTTCTTTTTCCTTTATATACTGTGGTCTTTATAGACTGGCGAGTTCAATCAGGAAGACAACCTTTAGTGCGTTGATCCAAGAGGATGTCATTTTGTGTGGTGATCCTGGAGGGTGAACTTTAGTGTGGTGATCCTGGAGGGTGAACTTTAGTGCGGTATTTCTGGAGGATGTCCTTTAGTGTGGTGATCCCGGAGGGGGACCTTTAGTGTGGTGATCCCGGAGGGCGACCTTTAGTGTGGTGATCCTGGAGGGCGACCTTTAGTGTGGTGATCCTGGAGGGCGACCTTTAGTGTGGTGATCCTGGAGGGCGACCTTTAGTGTGGTGATCCTGGAGGGCGACCTTTAGTGTGGTGATCAAAGAGGGGACCTTTAGTGTGGTGATCCTTTAGTGCAGTGATCCTGGAGAGGGGAGGACGACCTTTAGTGTGGTGATCCTGGAGGGTGACCTTTAGTGTGGTGATCCTGGAGGGGGACCTTTAGTGTGGTGATCCTGGAGGGCGACCTTTAGTGTGGTGATCCTGGAGGGGGACCTTCAGTGTGGTGATCCTGGAGAGGGACCTTTAGTGTGGTGATCAAAGAGGGCGACCTTTAGTGTGGTGATCCTGGAGGGGGACCTTTAGTGTGGTGATCCTGGAGGGTGACATTTTAGATGCTGGCCTTGGAATACATGATGTAAGCGTGTTATCTACAGTGCAGTGTCCAGCTTGGAGTTGTTAGTGGTCGCAGACAACTGATCCGGCCTGTCATGGGACTGCTCGGGCGGTACGATGTTCAACTGTCAATAAAATGATACACTTAACATAAGGATCCTACTGTAAATATCTGATCTAGATTGTCCAAGGCTAAAATACACAGGGAATTTCACTGATAAAACACAAGAGGTCACCTTTAAGACACATAAGCAAACAGAATAGCTAAATATATCAAGGACCAGGTACGTTAGGAGGTTCACATGCATTTTAACACACGTAACGCATTCATGAACAGGAACATCTCACAGCAGCAAATAACACGGTCAACATTTACAGATCGTCACCGATAAAGTAGACTAGCCACACTTATGCAAGGAAAGGGTAAATAGACAGATTGAAGCAAAGAATAGGTAACAAGCCAAAAGGATGCAAGGAAATGGTCACTGGCCAGACTGATGCAAGGAAAAAGTAACTAGCCAGACGGATGCAAGGAAATGGTAACTAGCCAGACTGATGCAAAGAAAAGGTAACTAGCCAGACTGATACAAGGAAAAGGAAACTAGCCAGACTGATACAAGGAAAAGGTAACTAGTCAGACTGATACAAGGAAAAGGTAACTAGCCGGACTGATGCAAGGAAAAGGTAACTAGTCAGACTGATACAAGGAAAAGGTAACTAGCCAGACTGATACAAGGAAAAGGAAACTAGTCAGACTGATACAAGACTGAAAAGGAAACTAGCCAGACTGATACAAGGAAAAGGTAACTAGTCAGACTGATACAAGGAAAAGGTAACTAGCCGGACTGATGCAAAGGAAAGGTAACTAGCCAGACTGATACAAGGAAAAGGTAACTAGCTAGAGTGATACAAGGTAAAGGTAACTAGCCAGACTGATACAAGGAAAAGGAAACTAGCCAGCCTAATGCAAGGAAAAGGTAACTAGCCAGACTGATACAAGGAAAAGGAAACTAGCCAGCCAAATGCAAGGAAAAGGTGACTATACAGATAGATGCAAGGAAAATAGGGTAAATAGACAGATTGAAGCAAAGAATAGGTAACAAGCCAGACGGATGCAAGGAAATGGTAACTAGCCAGCTGATACAAGGAAAAGGTAACTAGCCAGCTGATACAAGGAAAAGGTAACTAGCCAGGCTGATACATGGAAAAGGTAACTAGCCAGGCTGATACATGGAAAAGGTAACTAGTTAGAGTGATGCAAGGAAAAAGTAACTAGCCAGACTGATGCGAAGAAAAGGTAACTAGCCAGATTGAAGCAAAGAAAAGGAAACTAGCCAGACTGATGCAGGGAAATGGTAACTAAACAGACCGATGCAAGTTAAAGGTAAGTGGCGAGACCGATGCAAGGAAAGAGTAACTAGCCAGACTGATGCTAGGAATAAGGTAACTAGCCAGATTGATGAAAGGGAAAGGTAACTAGTTAGACTGGTGCAAGGAAAAGGTTACTATACAGATAGATGCAAGGAAAAGGTAACTAGCCAGAATGAGGCAAGGAAAAGGTAACTATCCACACTGATGCAAGGAAAAGGTAACGAGCAAGATTGAAGCAAAGAAAAGGTAACTTGTCAGACTGATGCTAAGAAAACGTAACAAGAGAGACAGATGCAAGGAAAAGGTAACTAGTAAGATTGAAGAAAAGAAAAGGTAACTAGCCAGGCTGATGCAAGCAAACGGTAACTAGCAAGATTGAAGCAAAGAAAAGGTAACTAGTCAGACTGATGCAAGGTATAGGTAAGTATCAAGATTGAAGCACAGAAAATGTAACTAGCCGGACTGATGCAAGGAAAAGGTAACTAGCCAGACTGATACAAGGAAAAGGTAACTAGCCAGACTGATGCAAAGAAAAGGTAACTAGCTAGACTGATGCAAGGAAAAGGTAACTAGTTAGATTGATGCAAGGAAAAGGTAACTAGCCAGATTGAAGCAAAGAAAAGGAAACTAGCCAGACCGATGCAAGGTAAAGGTAAGTGGCGAGTCCGATACAAGGAAAGAGTAACTATCCACACTGATGCAAGGAAAAGGTAACGAGCAAGATTGAAGCAAAGAAAAGGTAACTAGTCAGACTGATGCTAAGAAAACGTAACAAGAGAGACAGATGCAAGGAAAAGGTAACTAGCCTGACCGATGGAAGCAAAAGGTAACTAGCCTGGCCGATGCAAGGAAAATGTAACTAGCAAGATTGAAGAAAAGAAAAGGTAACTAGCCAGACTGATGCAAGCAAACGGTAACTAGCCTGACCGATGCAAGGAAAACGTAACTAGCAGGATTGAAGAATAGAAAAGGTAACTATCCACACTGATGCAATAAAAGTACATTCTCAAACAGAGAAGGGCTACAGAACAGTATGTCTTCTGGTGACCAGACCTCTTGGTATCAGGACATAGGATGTTCAATGAGAACTCAGCACTCTTCAAAGCACTAGCAGATAGTTCAGAAATAAACCTCTGTTTAACACTTCATCCGTTCACTGTTGACATTCCACGTGATCTGATGGTGTGCAGATACTGTTTCGGGCGAATTTTAAAGTGACTTGAATTCATATAAATTGGTAGCAATTGTATGTGAGGTTAAGATTCTTGAGAAAGACGATTCTTTTCAATTTACTAAACACTAAGAGATGATGTACAATATATTTACTAAATAGCAATCAGATGGGAATAGTTATCATCTGAGGATCGACGTTTCGAGATTTATGTAAAAACACCACAGAAAAGGTCACAAATACAGCTAATAATGAATTGTACAAGAATAGTCAAAACGAGCTTAGAAATTGAAATTCTGTATAAACGGAACAAATATGTGTTACACCACATTTTATTACCTATTGAAATGGCTGTGTTATGGCCAAAATATGTTTTCCTGGAAACACTATTAACCAGTATTTTTCACATGGCAGATTAACATTTTAGCTAATCTCATCAGACAGTAGTGGAAACAAGAAACTACCCTGACTTCTCTATCCTAAGAACAAAGGCTTAAATCAGCAGGTCAGCAACTCTTCAGGGGAAGCAACATGCAGAAGCAGTACAAAAATCTTGCAGTGCTGTTTCAAATGTTTATTTCAATTTTCAGCTTAAATACAAGAAGATAGGCTCACATCAGCTGCCTTGAGACCACATAAAATAGTCGAATGTTACACACAGAAGTCACAGCATAAACATTCCTACAACAGACACGATCGGAGAAATATGATGAGCTCATCAAATTGTAACAATGCAGGTTCTCACGATACATATCTATCAACTGCCAGATGGCTTACATTAAGTACTTCGTACTCCAACACATACACTTAGACCCCGTGCATCTTTTGCTGAGGATTATGTATTTGAATAATAGTCCTACATTTTTACTGTGACCTCAAGGTAAGAAGTAACAATGATACTAATTTCGTTGACATAATCGTCATTTAGTTACAGTGAAAACATAGTATATGTAAATAACAACGAATATTTGGAGGAAGGAATTTTTATCTTCGTTGTTAAATAATAGTTTCATTTTAAAGGTCAGCAAGGAAAGCAACATCCAACTAACTTAAGGCACATGACATCGGTTCACGAAATATTTAAGTTTTGAACGAATGTGTCCACTAGCCAAGTTGGATATTGACTTTTCTCTTGACGACATTAACACATTTATGTCAAAGATGACAGAGAAAGGAAATGAAAGGCAATATGGGTGTAGGAACGTAGGAAAACCTTTAGGGGGTTAGCATGCTTGAAATTAACGAAACGAATCGATAATTTATGGACAAAATCAGTTGTGTAAAACTAAAGTTGGTTTCAAAACTACATACATGTTCTTGCAGTTTATTGATAAGAAATCTTAATAACATACTAAAACAAATATCATATAACTAGAGACCAATTGAGCTAAGTGAGGAATGTCAACTCAATACCAAAACCGTCACTCACCAAAGAAAGCACAAAAGCCTGTTACAGCAATTTACAAATACCTCTTTCTGTTCAAATTTTCATTATAAGTATAAATAACAGAGCATAACACAAGAGAAAGCTTCCCTTATACATAATATCTGTCTAAGATATATATCCTGTCTGGGTTACAAAAGCTGCAGATGTGGGGCAAATGTACAACAAACCATCATTTAAGGTATTATGCCACATAGTACATTGAAAACATTGCACATGCCGTTCAGTTTACACAATCAGTCTTTAAAGTGCTCCTGGTGTTGCCAGATTTCCATGCAATACAGGCCACAAGAATAAGCAAAAATTAAACATAAAGCAATAAGCAGCAGTCAGTATTTGAACCCAAGGGGAGCAGGTTTTGATACTTCCCCTACCGATGTACTCAAAGCAATGCTCATTTCATGTGCTAATTCCCGCCATTTTGACATTTTTACTTGAAAATCTGAGGCCTCGGAGATAACCACCATCTGAAATTGATTTAAATCTTCCGTTAATTCAGACCGAGGAGTAAGAAATCATCAGTTGTTTTTGACACATTTGGGATTTTATTGTGAGTCCTGCCTAATACCACAACTAGGAACAAGCACTGCTTTGAAGTGATATGTTATAGGCATAGGTAAGGTAATACTTTTCGATACACGTAAGGCCTGCATGAACAGAACTGCATGAAAATGCCTAACATCGTTTCCTTCAATTTTGCATTACATAACAATATAATGACTCAGAGAGAGAGAGAGAGAGAGAGAGAGAGAGAGAGAGAGAGAGAGAGAGAGATGGCAGTAGGGAATTTAGCACAACCATAATACCCAGTTCAGTATTATGGTTGTGCTTAATGTGGATATTGTGCTTTCAATTTAATCCAACATAATATTCTCAAATATTGACATAAGTATAGCAAGCAGCAAGTTCAAACAAAAAACGTGGTCCAGGTGTTTCAAATGGCTGACTACATGCGCAGTAACAGATGCATTGCTCAGTTATAATGGGCATTCCAGGGTGAGTTTAATCAGTGCGATTTGCATTGGCAAATGTTCGAAAATGTATACGTCACAATTTTAGACATATTTGTTCCTAATGGACTTGTTGCCCGGGTGCACAAAGCGAGCGAAGCTGGAGCAGAACTTTTGAGCAAAACATAGGAATAATCACTAACAAAAGTAAAATGTGTAAATTTTTAAACTCCAACTAACTTGGCATTTGAAAACCGTGGTTCTGGTTAACCTGTTGTTTAACCTGTAAACAAACACGATCTCTTATTGTCCTACCGGAAATAGTTGTACTTGTAATTACAACATACATGTACGTTAATTTGTATAAATGAATTATTAAGGACATGTACTTGCAACTGTTATATCAGGTCATTCTGTTGGTCTATGAAAAGATACAAATCTCCCCTCTATCCTCTCTAGGGGCGGTGGGGTAGCCTAGTGGTTAAAGCGTTCGCTCGTCACGCCAAAGACCCGGGTTCGATTCCCCACACGGGTACAATATGTGAAGCCCATTTCTGGTGTTCCCCGTCGTGATATTGCTGAAATATTGCTACAAGCGGCGTAAAACTGAACTCACTCACACTCTCTATATTCTACAATCTATCAACATTATCACACTATGGCCAAAACCGTCTATGTTTAGTTTTACAATATTATACGAGCCCAGTGAAATCTATACTTTTTCAATAAATTGATCAACTACTTATGTTTCAACATATTTGAGCTGGGGTACGTACAATATTGCACATACAAAATGCCATATATCTTTCCTTCTCAATGACATGACTACTGATTAGTCAATACCTTTTGGCATTTCCAATAAAACTATGTTAGAATCATTGGAAGCGTTTTGGTACCACAGTCACGTAGACGATACTAACATCTAGGTAGAAAATACTTTCACATACTTAGATGATACTTTACTTCTACGTACGTAGATGGTACGTACCCATCTTCGTGATGTATGATATATGTAAATGTTAAGTAGGATGTTGTCGTCTATTTAAATTTGGCCTTTTCTGTATTTACACAAGTAAATGAAATCATTTCAAATGATCGTTTTTATCTATAGGCGTTAAAACCAAAGCCAAAACTCAAATATATTCATTTAATTAAACTTATACGACATATCTAAAGGGTTTCTTTATTTTAAAGTATTGATAATATCTCAATAACGACATGTCAAGGTGTGGGAGGACGGGGGTGTGGGTGGAGTGTGGGTGGGGTAAACCTAGTAGGTAAAGTATTTACTCATCACAATGAAGATCCGGTTACATAAAATAGACGCGAGACTGTTGTCGATTACTGAGGAAATATGGAAAGTCGATAATGAGATAGAAGAGTATACCTACTCCTCATAAATATACGTAAATATATGTATCATCTACGTACATGAAAGTATGAATCTTACCACCTGGATTTGTGAGGTAACCGTATTTCCTTTCTGTTTCCGAGCTACTTTAGTGTGAATAATGTTCACATATAATACCAGCTACTGTCATACAGGTAACAGACTCTGTATGGTAAAGTGGCTCACGAATACAGGTACTACAAACGTGCATTTACACTATCTCCTCAATACTATCAGTCATAGCTACATCAACCTGTCTCCTACAGAACACGCGTACATAATGTGGCTTCCATGATACACACATGATCTAGAACAGTTTATAAGAGCAGCGTAAGGTCACAACACATTGGAGATAGAAGTTGCTGCATTGTTTCTTCTACATACCATTGACAGACGTTAACAGAGATGTTTTATTTAAAACAAATTATTAAATAGAATGTCAATCGAACGTGCAAATGCGAATAATACGTAGATGGTTTTAACGTTGATTGAGGGTGTAAACGCTTTACTTCAAGTATACAGGTGCAATAGAATCTTGATCTCATTATATCGTAAAGGCGTGTGTTCATGTGTTTGAGAAAGAAATGCCAGTATGCAGCGACATGTTAACTTTGTCAAATATTCTGAACATTCTGATAAACAAATCTGATATTTATTGGTAATACATGTATGTAATATTACCACAGCCTAAAAAAGTGGTAAGTGACAAACGAAAAGTATTTTCTCCATGACACTTAATTCAAAGGCGGTTCATCTGATCCAGTATGCAGCGACATGTTTACTTTGTCAAATATTCTGAACATTCTGATAAACAAATCTGATATTTATTGGCAATGTGTAATTTTACCACAGCCTAAAAAAGTGGTAAGTGACAAACGAAAAGTATTTTCTCCATGACACTTAATTCAAAGGCGGTTCATCTGATCAGGACAGAGGCCAGTTTGAGGGATAGCCATATGTAATGGGCAGAATAACGTAAATCGTCTCTCGTTGTACGTTAAAATATCCTACCTTAGATTATCATTATCATATTATCTGCCTTGTCCATTAAAGAACCAGTATAAGTATTCCATGCAATATTATGGAACGGAACCATTGTTTACTGTCTTGAAAAAGAATGCACAGTTCTATAATGATCTATTTATCAATCAGTTCCATTATTCTTGTAATAAATATGTTTTGGAAAATATAACAAATGAAATGTTATTTGATGAAGTTATCCAACTGATGTGGAGATTAAAGGTTTGTGCTTTTAACCTGGCCGACCTGAATGCCATAGACACAACGCAACACAAGATATTCGTGTGACCTAAATGAGGAAACATAACCATGTGACAGATATACATGTGGTATTAGGGGCGGCGGGGTAACCTAGTGGTTAAAGGATAGGTCGTCACTTTGAAGACCCAGGAAGGATTCCCCACATGGGTACAATGTGTGAAGTCCAGTTCTGTTTGTTCCCTGCTGTGATATTGCTGGAATATTGCTATAAGCAACGTAAAACTAAACTCATCCACTCACTCACATGTGGCACTAAACCTTGTGCCATGGGTAGACAACAACGAATATACAGCTATGGTAAGTATTCTAAAGCACTCACTATATGTACCAGTGTGTGCGCCCATTCAAAAGTATCATTAAAAACACGAATTAATGCGGGACAATGCTCCACGAAATTAGTGTCCATTTTCGGCCTACCCAGACGTTGACATAAGAATGTTTGCGCCAGACAATGTAGGTATTTTTATCGTTATCAACAGCTATGTTGGTATGTGAATGGAATTTACTCTACTGACAAATACGGATAAGCGACCTAAATATGCATAATTAAAGAATTGAGCAGAGCCTTTAAAAATGATCATGAAAGTTATCGTATATGTTCATATGAATAAGACCTAGACTTCGTTTCATTTAATAACAACATCAAATACATCGGTTCTTGTAAAATAGTGTCAAACGGCTGAATTTGTACTTTTTTAGGAAACATTTGATCACTTAATTGAAACATACTGATATTCTCGAAACAAACAAATAAAAAATATAAATAATCTTAGATCACAGACTCGCACTTGCAGCTGTCGCTCATTTAGACATACGTTTGCAATAATCATGTCAGACAACCAAAACGTTCAAGTGTTAAAAATGATAAAAACTCTGAACATATGCGATATTTTTGGTAAAAATATTTCATTTCGGCAACTTTCACATTTGACATTACCAGTCTTGTGCCTTGTCCTACCTTGTTAGTTACTGGATTTCCTCTAACCAAAGCCTTGTCTCCCATTAATGAAATACATCCATAGGGAAATGAACAAACCCATAAATGACATACTTTTGATATAGTTAAACATTAAAAACACTTTGATAGGTGTATCTTGATTTGATTATTGAGGGACTTTATATTCACTTCAGTGTATGATTGAGAACGTGCATGTTCGTTCACTGACATCATAAACAGATGAATCATTGCGATCTCCCTACAAAAAACACCTTCCAGCGACCCCTGTCGGTGAACACCGTGACTACAGGCTCAAGGTTTATCAGAATTCTCAGATGCACTAAACCAAAGAATTGTTATCTTAATTTCTACAATCAAATCGACAGGGGAAATACATGTTATTACTTCAAAATGTCCAGTTATTTTGTATCAAATAATGGGTATGTCAAGCTGGTATAGTTCTATCCATCAAGGCTTAAAGAATACTGTATGAGGACACTTGGTTAGCCGAAACAACCGATGTATTATGTTGATGACAGGTCCTAGTGAACATGCAGTCCTCTCTGAGTGCAAGTAATTCTATCGTGAGTACATTGATCAGCCTTTCCTATAATTAGGCCCCAAATCGTCTACTATGACAACCTGTGATGAATCAGTGTCATCACTGGCGTCAAGGTCACTCGCCTCGCTCTTCATTTCGCCGTTTTCTTGGAGTGGCTTGGAGAACAGGAGGGAGCGTATCTGCTGACTGCCGATCATGTGTCCCAGAAACAGCCACAAGCCCTGCAAAACAAACACGCGGGAAATCAACACAAGGTCACCTGTGTATTGGAGTAAGCCTTGTATCACTGTTGAGTGTCTCCCCGTGGCACTAACGTGGAACTATGTTGGCCGAGGGGTATCTTAGAAACTTAAATACATGTATACGTAATTGAAAACTGTCCATTTCCTACACAGTCATGGTTGACACACTTGTCTGGTCCAAGCTGGATAATTGGTTTGTTTGTAGTTTAACGCTGCGTTTAGCAGTATTAAAGCTTAATGGCGGCGGTTTGTAAATAATCGAGTCTGGATCAGACAATCCAGTGATCAACAGCATGAGCATCAATCTATGCATGTGTGATACGACATGTGTCGCCCAAGCCAGAGAACTGACCATCCGAACCCGTTAGTCGCCTCTTACAACAAGCATGGGTTACTGAAGACCAATTCTATTTGATTTGATTTAAACATATTTATTCAAGAGAATGGATTGGGTACAAGTTATTTCAACTTTGTGAAACCCTGTCCTATGACCAATTCTAACCCGGATCGATAGTGATACGACACATTCGTAAATATAAGCCCGAAAATTGGACTTTTGTGCATAAGCTGACTGTATGCACTTATATGTAAGACTACCCAATACATATTTCCAGTGGGATTATATCATGCATAGAACATGTCTGACAAACAATGAGAGACTGACGACAGCTGAACCCATGCTATTTGTATAGGAAAATGTGCTAAAACGTTCAACAAAAGTTGGATTTCTAACGACGAGAGTTCTATATATATAAAACTTCTTTCTTATTAATATGAGCTAATATATGTCACTCAAAGAAGTTAATTTGATTTCTGACGATGTGCTTTACATTTGAATTCTTAAGGCCTATATTGGCTGACTTAATGCATGCCAAATGTCAAGTCGTACCTGTGAGGAGTTGAAGATGACGAACATATAGATGAAGCCGGTGTTGAGGGCTGCTGAGGGGACGCCGAAAACCCAGGTCAGGCTTAACACGGGGATGAGGGACGCCGCCGTCAGGAACTGGTGTCTGCAACATCACAGTCAGCCATACAGTGGAGGATAGAAGTGTGGACAAGTGTGTACATGTATAAAACATTCACTGTACAGCATTAACATCCGTACACGTATAAAACATTCACTGTACAGTATTAACATCCGTACATGTATAAAACATTCACTGTACAGTATTAACATCCGTACATGTATAAAACATTCACTGTACAGTATTAACATCCGTACATGTATAAAACATTCACTGTACAGTATTAACATCCGCCCTGTCTTACTGACTAACGTGTGCAGAACGCAGACATTGTCGACTCCCATTGTTCCTACTCTAGGTTCTCACCAGACCAAATATATACTGTTTCAAGCCTGGCAAACATGCACCTGCTCCTCATTTACAAGCCATGCAGTGAGTATAAACCTCTATCTACTCGCAAAGACAGACTAGTCAAAATGTTGCTTACCTTCCTCTTGTGACATACTTTGGTGGTTTGTTTCATAAATGAACTTAGCTACCATTAGCTCGGCCGAAAATTGACAAGTTTTAAAATTGTCTCTTAACATTTTCAAAATTTGGTTAAGCAGATTTCTAATCCAAGTATGTTTTACTGATTGTGGTTATTGTTTTTTATTAAGACATGAGGCCGTGTATGTGGAACACGTTACATCTATAGTAAATGTAACATCCATGTATCATATAAAGTCAACTCACTTGATCTTTTTGAGTAGAGAGACGCTCTTGTTGACATCAAGAACAAGGCGAGTGAGCATCATAGCGATCATGACGGCGAAGTTGATCTGAAACATGAGAAGATGCTCATCAACCATTAGCAAATATTTGCACTGAAAAACTGGGAAAGAAGCAGGATGGGGCGAAGGAAAGCATACGCCCGTGTAATGGTTGTGACCAGAAAAACAAAGGTTATCAGAACGTTACTGGGCTAACAGCAGTACCCCAATCACAACAATGATACCTGAATATCAACATCGACTGGTTTGTTCCATAAAACAAGGGTGGGCTGTAGTGTTGGGAATTGGTTAAAATCTCATAACTGATGGTTGGTTCATTACTACCAATCAATCATCGAAAATAATTGGTTAGCGTCATTTATGAAATTTGTTAATGCTCATTAAAATAAGGGGAAAAATGTAGATCTTCTGGGTTTTTTGGGGCAAAATTTCACATCTTTAAAAGATGACTAGTATGTTAGGAACATAAATTTCTTGGAATCTTTAAGATAAATTCAATCATGACTTGAAACGAGCTTGTAGTGCTTACGAAATGTAACAGACAAAACCAACCATGTGAAAAAATATTGTTAATGAAAACAAGTGTTCCAGAATTGTTTGTGTTCGATTATGAGAAATTATGATCGATTGCTTGGTCGTTTAGTCACTACGACCAATCTTCGATTATTTCAATTAATCGGACCACCACTAGTGGGCTGAGTCTACTTACATACACACTTTATTGTTTGGTTGTTGGGTAACGCCACACTCAGCAAGAATCCAGCTATATGGGTCAGTCTTTAAATAATCCAGTCTGGACCAGACAATCCTCTGGTCATCAGCATGAGCATCGATCTACGCATTTGGGATTCTATGACATCTGACAACCAGGTCAGATCCCGTTAGTCGCCTCTTACGAGAAGCATGGGTTACTGAAGACCCATTCTTACCCGGGTCATATTGAAGTAGCACAACTCTTCGCGCTAGTATCTCCTTGTTTAAGTGGGTAATGTGATTTCTCCAAAGAAATAAACCCTGCAAGTTACATATGACATTATTTGGCATAAAATGGAAACGTGTATGGTACTCACGAAGAGAATAACGACGACAGGACCAACGAACGCCCACCTTGTCATCTTGTGCCGACTCAACCAACATCTGCAATTACAGAATTAAACAGTTCTATAATGATTTACTGATAAAAATCATGATCAACGTAAACTCTCTAAAGTAGAGTAGGATGAAGGAGGTTAAGAACTTTCAGTCAAATACCCGCAGCCGAAAGTACTTACAGAGCGTCGTTGCCGTATGTGTCGCCCCTGATGACAGCAGTGACGGCCACGATGAAGGCAGGAGCGAGCCACCCGACGACCATGAACAGGGTGCGGACACGATACGCCTGGGTGATGTTCCATCGTTTAGCCTGGAAACAAGGTTTAATAGTTAGTCTACCATGACTTCAGTAAATAGGCTAAATACTGGATTGTGATTGGTTAATCAAAGTCATTCAGGTGTATATAGTCACGTTATATACCTCTGATTTTCCAACCTGGTATGTATTTTTTAAAAACATACTGTGTTGGAAGATCAGAGGTATATAACGAAATTATAATAGCTCTAATTTAATTTTTTTTAATAAATATTTACAGCTATTATAATTTAGTTATATACCTCTGATTTTCAAACACAAGATGTTTATCTCCTATATAGTGACGACCACGATGAAGGCAGGAGGTAGCCATCGTGTGCTAGTTCCGCGGAAGATACTGTGCCGTGTATGTGACGTAGTGACATAAGCTCCCCCCACTCATGAATATTCATGATTTCTGTGCACTTAAGACCATTGTGCGTTTAAGGGCACAACAATTGTGCGATCACAATGACTGTGCAGACACGATATACCTTGGTAATGTTCTATCACTTAGCCGATAGCCTAGATTTTCGACAGGTTCGTAGCCCTACGAACGTCTTGAGCCCATTCTTGACACATTGGCTACGTTCAAAGTTCAGAACTCTTAGGGCTACGAACGTTTCGAAAATCTAGACCCAGGTTTATTTGTCACAAGAAGTCTAAGGAGCTGTCAAGCGGACCAAGTAATGCAGCTGTGATGGCCGTGGGCCTATTTACACAAAGGAAGTCTTTGGGCTAAGAATACCTATGCCCGTCACATTTTCGGGCGTAAAATAGTCGAAGTATTCCTGAACCATCAAGCACTGTACTACTACGAATGCCGGGCTGATCTTTTACTTTTAGGTCTTGGGATTGATTCCACCAGTGAAATATCAACCACAGCCAGGTGGTGCTACTAATGGTGATCAGTTGTGTGCAGGAAGCGCTGCGTGAAGGCTGCGGCATGCACTCAGCCGTCTCACTCCGACAACACACACAGCTGTCACTGTCATGTCTACAATAATCGTTGTGTGTTGATGAAGTATAGGGTACTACTTATATCAGAGATTATCGAAAATTGTTGATTTAAACAATGTTGACATGAAGTCAATATCATATTTGACACTTGGATTTACGGAAGCTGAAACGAGCTGAAAATATTTCAAGTGTTGTAGTAGAGAGGTGGGGTAGCGGTGGGATCTGGTACGTTTCATTACATAAGACCATATAATGAATTTGATTTTTCGCAATCGGTCAATGTTTCAACGCGTAGACATTCGTATATTTGCAAATTGAGGTGCCTTTGACGACTGGGCTCCCTGTTTCGATCTACCAGCCACGCCATATTCAAACATGTGGTGACCCGTGCTTCTCTAACAAAGCAGATGAGGAAGAGGGTGTGTCCGCCAAGGGGCAGATGGACTGGACTGGAGATTACTACTGTGTAGTGCTTGTGTCTCAAGACGTTGTCCATGGTAAACATCATAACAGGAATTCACATTGCATTCACAACCTCCTTCCAATGTTAGGCTCAAAAGATTCAGATAGTACACAAACTCCATACAGATATACTGCCGAGTCCTAATTACCTTGATGATGAGGTAGAGAGAGTACGCGAGTGACCAGAAGTGTATGGTGAGGAAGAAGTAGTGGAGAACAGATGTAGACAGCTTGCACATCACCTGTAAACACACAACTCAAGATAGTCAGTCAGGCAATGGTTACACCGTGTACCCTACACAGTAGTTGGGGCATTCACGTGATCGTGTGAAGGGCAATCCCAACAAATACATTTGGTAATATTCTGTTGGTTGGCTTAACGAATTGATTGTAAGGTCAGAAGGAGGATCCAGAAGGTGGGGAGGTGCGGGTTTGCACCACCACCCCCTCTCCCCCGGAAAAAATCCCTGTGGAACATTTCCCCCAAACCTTTGGACTTCATGATATATGTGCACCCCTCTTCTCCAAAATCATGCATCCGCCCCAGAAGGTTGTGACGTATTAAACGATTTTTGTGTGATTTCAGACTTTTATTATACAGAAGGGGAATCAAGTGATCTAACCGAAGAACACTAGCATTTTTTTAGCTGACAACTAAATAATCAGGTCTGGACTAGATAATCCAGTGACTGACAAAATGGAAATCGATCAACGCAACTGGGATACAATGACATACATTAACTACGTCCATGACCTGGACCACCTTATCCCGTAAAGCACCTCTTACGAAAAGGGGCGGTGGAGAGGCCTAGTGGTTCATGCGTTCGCCCGTCACGCTGAAGACCCGGGTTCGATTCCCCAAATGGAATACAGGAATATTGCTAAAAGCGGCGTAAAACCCAACTTACCCACTACTCACTCTCTTAAGAAAACCATAGTCATTTTGTACAACAAGCATGGTCGCCTTTTACTACAACAATGGGTTGCTCAACACCAATCCCAACCCAAATCTTCACGGGTCTATAACGTACGTATCATGCAAACTTGGTAAACTAGTTCCTGTCTAAGTAAATGGTGACTGTTTGAACGTATGCATTCGAGACAACTTACTTTCATTGGAAATGAGTTTTCAGCGGCGATGAATGAGAGTTGAGCAATGAGCAGGGCGAAGCACTGGTTCCCCACCACAAACAGTCCGTCACTCTTCAGCCTGAAACAGTACATACACATTCAGTGGTAGACTAAGGCTTAGTCTCTGAATATATATAATTTTGATAGTAACAAACAAGCTCATTTATATTGAAAAGGAGCCCTAGGGTGACCAGAGATTCAGAACCTGAGGAAATCTAGACTTGCTTTATTTAGGGCTTTAGCACTGCAGAGAGGGCTTGGCAGTAGGGAAATTAATGTGGTTCAGGGACTGTGAGACCGACTTATTCAGCAACAATCCCGTTTAACATTAATCCATTAACGAAAGATTCAAAATAAGTCATTGCCTTGATGGTGCTTTTTGTTTAGTAGCTTGAGGCTCAGCAATAATCAATATACACGACAGGGTGTACACATTCCATGAAGACACACTGATGCGGATGTGTGTACGGCGGGAGGAGGGGAATGAAGATGAGGAAGAGGGTGTGTTTAGAGTGAGTTAGCGATCTTGCTTTAACGCCTCTTTGAACTGTATTCCAACTATATCACAGCTTGTGGTAGTAAAGCCAGAGGTAAGGCAGCTCTGACACGTTTGTGTAACCCACGAGGGCAGACAAACCTAGAACAATAATAGGGACAAACCAGCATTCGAACCCCAAGGAAAGCGACTCTGCAAAGCTAATTGGGGCGCCCAAGATTACTGATATCACCTGTAACCCCCTCTTGGAAAGAAGCAAATGAGGAAGCATGTTTGTTTACTTATGTTTATAATCCCCTGGCAAAGCAGACGAGGAAGAGGGTGTGTTTACTCACGGGAGAAAGCAGGCGAGGAAGTGTGTGTGTTTACTTTACTCACGGGAGAAAGCAGACGAGGAAGAGTGTGTGTGTACCCACCGGAGAAAGCAGATGAGGAAGAGGGTGTGTTTACTCACGGGAGAAAGCAGACGAGGAAGAGTGTGTGTTTACTCACGGGAGAAAGCAGGCGAGGAAGAGTGTGTGTTGACTCACGGGAGAAAGCAGATTTGGAAGAGTGTGCGTTTACTCACGGGAGAAAGCAGACGAGGAAGAGTGTGTGTTTACTCACGGAAGGAAGCAGATGAGGAAGAGGGACAGCATTGTCCCCACCATGGACAGTCCGCATCCCGTCAAGGTGATCCGCACTAGGTTGTAGTCGATGCTGTCTGTCGACTGAAACAAAATACAGTAAAGATAATAAAAGTATTCTCTATATTTTTCTAAAATACCTTAGATTCATATATTATAGTTTTTACGTGAATTGGTTCCAGTGATGGCTGCATCGTGGCGAGCGTCGTACATTATGACTGGTTGTTGGATGACAGCCTGATTAACACAAGTACATGCATCTGATCCCAAGGTACACGAATACTTCGTGCATGGAGGATGTGTGACGCACGACCGCTGGTGTCATTGCACTTTGTAGAGAAGGTCATTTAAAACATCATTTCAGCTTATTATGGCCGGATGTGTTTATTGCGGCGGAACACCAACACTAACACTCAGTGAAGAATTGTTACAGGCGTGATGGTGATATGTCACTCTGGGAAAACCGCAAACCCACAACCAACAGCCGTACAGGTCACTGTTATATCCAGTGATTCATCGCACCTGAATATGTGCATCTGCGGAGATTTGGATGTAAAGTAAAACATTGCTAGTCTGATCCTGGCTAATCCGGACTCCCCGCATTCCGGGAATTACAGTGTCACATGTCGGTTAATGAGGAAATGTGAGTGAGTGAGTGAGTTTAGTTTTACGCCGCACTCAGCCATATTCCAGCTATATGGCGGCGGTCTGTAAATAATCGATTCTGGACCAGACAATCCAGTGCTCAACAGCATGAGCATCGATCTGCGCAATTGGGAATCGATAACATGTATCAACCAAGTCAGCGAGACTGACCACCCGATCCCGTTAGTCGTCTCTTACGACAAGCATAGTCGCCTTTGGTGGCAAACATGGGTTGCTGAAGACCTATTCTACCCCGGATTTTCACGGGTCTAATAAGGAAATGTGTTTAACACGACGGCTTCATTGAAACAGCGCTGTCCGGATTAACAGGGTTTCTGTATATTAACACACATACCGAGTAGTTCCCTACTTGCATCAGAAAGAAGTAGTTGGCTTTGTTCGACTGGTTCAACCAGTTCAGGGAATGCTGCAACAAAAACCACATGACACAATAACACCAGGAACTAATAGAAATACGTAATAAACGGATATCAAAACATAGTCAACTACCCTATAGACACGAGTGGACGTGTACAGGATCCTGCATCTGCATGGCGAGCAGGCAGTTTGTCCGTATTTTCCTTGAGAGGCAGCTTAGGTCCCAAGACAAGTTTACTCAATGTTTTTCAATAGCTCTGGTCTCCAGGGTTCGATTCTGTGGAGTCATATCATTGTTCACGCTATCAACCACCTTTCTATATTGCACAGACTCGATTATTTGTATGACGTGATAATACCGCTGTTCTACTGCTGGCGTAAACCAATATTCATTCATCAAATGTGTTTTAATGAAGTCTAATGATAATTGTGCTTTACTTACAAAACATTAGACAAGGTTGGTGATTATAGTATTACCAAACATGTTAACCAGCATCGTTTATGCAGAATCAGTCAGTGAGAACATAATCTAACCCTGACTGACACTATCTGAGGCAGTTCGAGTGAGACAGATGCATATTTTCCAGGAGTTACACTTGTCCATGATATTGCAGATTGTCCGTAAGTTAGTTCATCTGTAAATATTATAGAAATGGCCTGTCAGCTGTAAGTGTAACGAAAACGGATGCGACGAAGCCCACGAGCTCACTATGGCGCTGACAAGATAAGATCATTATCAGTAAGAATCTAGACTTCGAGCCTGCGACAAGCAGATCCTGTAAAGTCAAGGGGTTTGCAACTCTGCACAACAAACTCGTTGGGCACTAGGAGCTCACAGCGAGCTTATAGTACCAGGTGAACTGTTATAAAGTTATGACTTATCTGACTGAGACATGAATACATGCTATAGAACACAATGGATACCTGCACATATTGTTCTGTTGGATACAGTACTGAATAATACAATCAAATCTTACCATGCGCTGACCCTGTTTTCTGTATCGCAATGATACATTCTAACCATGAAATGAAACAAAGAATTTGTATGTATCCAGCGGGTAACAGCAGCTGGGTTAAATAATTATGCAATTTGTAGAGTGATATTACTTGGGATGACACATAATCTATAGGCTGTAACAACCTCTGTGGTATTTGGAAGATAGTGTTGATGTTTACTTTTAAACAGTGCAAGATGTAATTTACTGCCTTTCAGTGGGTGTTTGACGTCAGGATTGTCCTTGCAGAACTAGTGGCGGATTAGTGGGATTGGATGGATCGGTATGCAAGGTCAAAGTGTGAAGTCCATTCTGTGTGTCCCACTCCGCGATATTTCAGGGATATTGCTTCACGCGGCGTAAAACAATACTCAGTCACATAATCACCCATAACTGAACCAACCAAAAATGTCCTACACTTTAACAGCCTGTTCGACACACGCTAGTAGCCTCCTTGGGAACTAAAAACAGCATAACAACTTATTTCAGAGATCCTTTTTTTCGACCAAGATACAGGTAAACGTATTAAACTGAAAGAACGGCATACATTTTCGGGAATACATTCTGGAATGTAGAGACCAGGGCCTAGATTTTCGAAGCTCTCTTAGCGCTAAGATAGTCGTAAGTTAATGTTAATGTATGGCACTTACGACTATCTTAGCGCTAAGGGAGCTTCGAAAATCTAGGCCCTGGCTAGCTATTCTCGAAACGTTCGTAGCCCTACGAACTTCATAAGCCCATTCTTAACACATTGGCTACGATCAAAGTTAAGAATTCTTAGGGCTACGAACGTTTCGAGAATAGGGGCCCTGAAGGGTAAACCGCATTATTAAGGAGGTCACTTACATGCATTCGATGTTCCATCCTGTGTGTTCTATAGGCCTTGACTTCCAACAAACGGATATTATTCCAGTTATCCAACAGTTCTTAGATGATACAGTAATTGCCCGTAGTCACCAGCACAGATCTGACACTGGTTCCCAAATGTAGGTTGTCGTGACGATGAGTTTCACCAAAATCATGTAAGTTCCAAATGTCCCGTTTACCGTCCAGGTCGGAGTTTTATACAGTTGATTCTGACACATCCGTGCAGACCGTAATTATTGCAATGACACTTATCTTCTTGTAACCATGGTAACCTATTTCTGTAATACATGATGCACGTGGAATCCGATTGCCTTTGGGCAGGCCAGTCTAGGGATGTCACGATGTCCATGCACGGTCGCACCGAGCTCTTCTAGCACGCGAGACGGTGAAGCCGTCATCACTGATTCTCAGCTTCATCAATATAAAATACAAATAATAGCAACATATTTCGCAGAATATTTGCCATCCTTTTCACCGAAAATTGTAAGATACATACTACCTTAGTTTTATGTCTATACAACATTACACACATTAAAAGTTCAGTTGCAATAACAAATAATTTTAGAACTTACCCATTTAGATATTGATTTAGTTAACACACCACCTCTCCCCGACATACTCCCAAGAGTTAGTATTTTGCAGATCAAATCGTGCTTTAGACTAACGCTTAGTCTCTGTATATATATAATTTTGATAGAAACAAACTATTCCTTTAATATTGTTTAAATTGAAAAGGAGCCCCAGTGAGAAGAGAGATTCAGAACGTGAACCTGAGGAAATCTAGACTTGCTTCATTTAAGGCTTTAGCATTGCAGAAAAGGCAGAAGGTGAGGTGAGGTGAGGTGAGGTGAAATTGGGTTTAACGTCGTGCTTGAGAATATTTCGCTCATATGACGACGTGCATGTATGTGTATGTGTATGTGCGGCTGCTTGTTCTAGCCCAGACTGAAGCTATAAAGGCAGAAGGGAAAATAACGCGAATCAGGGACAGACTGGTCTTGCTTCTATGCATTACGATAGAGTATACTGTTGTGAATATTGGGATCATGCCAGTAGGATTTCATTTAGGGCCGGGCAAAACATTCCACAACCACGCCTACATGTGAATGGAGTAATTGTTTGCTGACCGTGTTCAGTGATTATTTGCTAATTACTTTCGTTTAGAGAGCGACACATATTGTAGTTACCTTGAAGTCAAGCACACATTCTCTCACCTAATCGCATTAGGTTTCTAATTCCAGCAGCTTAAGTCGACAGCCTAATACTACGCCTTCGATCAATGGGTCAGCATTGGAGGAAACATCCAGGTATTGCGATGATATACGGCGGTCTAGTTTAATATCTCAATATGTGAATATGATCGAAGAGTGTCAGAAGAACTGTGCCATTTTAGCCATAGATAACATTTTCCCCTTCTCAAGTCCACTTTTTATAGGCAAAATATATTGTGGCTCACTGTGTATGAAATAAGCCCCAAACCCAGCCAGACATCAGGGCTGGTAACTTCAAAATATTACCAGCCCCAAATGGATTTAACCAGACCAGACATCAAGATATGGTGAATTTACTCAGATGTATGGAACATCAAAAATTCTTTTACCAGACCATTGGGCTGGCCAGCTTAAATTTAGACCGGCCGTCAGAAATCTAGCCCGTCTCGGTCAGTCAGACGGGCCTTATTTGCACTAACATATTCAGTGTTTAACGTTTACAGCCGCGAATGAAGTGTTATTATACGGGAAGAAAAATGTTTCAAGGTATGGTAATGATCTACAGCCCACAAGAACATCGCAATAAGAGGGGATTCACAAGTAAATTCACACGATCAGCAGGGGTGTGCCCGCCTTGTGCACTGATGCAGACCTAGCACATTCGCCTCATTGAGGCCACTTAAACGTCGATGATATTGAATCGTTGCTGGAGAATTCGAATGACGTCGTAAACGTCTCTCCATTTCATCCCAGATGTGTTCAGTGGATGACAAATCAGGGGATGTTATGGGTCAAGGTAACGCATTAACATTGCAAGAGTGTCATCTCAAATCCAAACAGTCACAAAGCATCTTGCAATGTATATATAATGCAATGAATATCAGATCCTCTGCATTACAGATGTGATATTATTTATGATATATTTATTTCTGTTGCACACTTTGCTACTGTATGTAAAAATGTACTATAGGCCAATGGCCTTTCAGTGCTATCAATAGAGATAGTGACATGTATCCAACATGCATGCACGTGCCACGTTCCGTGACGTCAGTTGGTTCGTGAGACGTGCAATACGTTGTTGCACGTGCATTCCGGGAAAGAGAAACAGAGCAAATGAATGCCACACAATACTGTCACTTTGGAAAGCTCAACCCCTGCCCTTGCGATCGTTCAAAAATTAAATGGCTATTGAAACTGCAGAGACGTGCAATACGTTGCATAGCATGCCAAGGCCCTCACGTCTGAAACGCATAGCATGCCGTCACGTCTGCGTCACGTCTGAGGCCATTGGGATGGTCCGTGGGGAATGTCTCAACGACAAGTGGCTGCACATTTCCACTGCCACCGGAACACCATTTCTGCACTGGTGAGACGCTACCAGAACACAAATGACGTCATCGATCGGCCACGTTCTGGACGTCCACGTGTAACAACGCCAAGACAGGACAGATGGATAAGGGTGACCCATCTTCGCCACAGGTTTCAGACTGCAGTGATGACTGGCCGAACCATCCCAGGACTTCGCCGTATCCACCCCAACACAGTTCGACAACGTTTACGTCATCACGGGATCAGACCACGACGTCCCGCCATACGACCTATCCTGACATAACGTCATCGAAAAGCTTGCCGAATGTGGTGCCGAAATCATGTCCGCAGACCCTTGTTTTGGTGGAGAAATGTTGTTTTTACAGATGAGTCCAGGTTTAACATTTCCCATAGTGATGGACGTCAACGTGCCTATAGACGCGTGGGAGAACGTTATGCACAGGCCTGTGTCTTGGAGAGGAACCGCTTTGGTGGTGGTTCCGTGATGATTTGGGGTGGAATAACAGCACGCCAAAGAACTCCTTTGGTGATTGTTCAGGGCAACTTAACTGGTGTGGGCTACAGGGATCAGATTCTTCGACCTGTGGAAATTCCTTTTCTGCAACGTCATGGCCCTGGGTTAACCTTCCAACAGGACAATGCCCGCCCTCATACGGCAAAGGTTGCTATGGATTTCTTGCAACACCACAACGTTGACTTACTGCCTTGGCCTGCAAATTCACCGGATCTCTCCCCGATAGAGCATGTTTTGGGCGAGATGGATCGACGTCTACGCCGTCTTCCTCGTCCGCCATATAACGTCCTTGACCTTGCAATAGAACTTGAGAGAATCTGGCATGACATCCCACAAGCCTTCCTTGCCCGTTTGATAGGCTCTATGCGTCGTCGATGCACTGCTGTTCTCAATGCCGATGGTGGACATACCCGTTATTGAGCTTGTGACATGGTCATTTGACCCCTGTCCCGCTTGTGGACTCGTGACATCATTGTGATTGACTTTTCAATTGAAATTCTCCCGACTTGTTATGGTCTCATGATCCCTCCTTTAAAGTTTATATGTACCTTTGACATTGTTATCGTACTTATCAACTGGGATAATATTTTGACAATGCACAGTTTCTTTATGTGGCTAGTATATATTTTTGTCGGACTCCTGCACTTCTTAAGACTACATTGAGTGGAAATGACAAGAGTCCGGTTGTCTGGACCTTTTAAGGTGAACAGTTAGAATATGGCATGCTTCTTGCAAAAACTGTGCTATTTAAACTTGGTTTGGTTTCATTTTAACTTCGACAATTTAAACCCTTTCTCTGGTTCACATCCAAGAATTTATTCACAAGAGTCATTGATCAGAATTTTCACTTCTGGTCCACTTGTGTGATATTTTATCGCTCCTCAGTTCATATATATTTCCCTTCTGTTATTCAAGGATGCTGTTTCTCTGAGTGGGTTTAGTTTTACGCCGCACTCAGCAATATTCCAGCTATATGGCGGTGTTCTGTATGTTTCTCTAATCAGTTCATCCAATGTAATACAATGCAGTGTAATGTATTTCCCTTCTTACGATTAAGTGTGAAATTTCCATAATTAGTTCATGTAAAGTGATATTTCTCTACTCTACACATCTCACATTCTTGAGATATTTCCCCCATCATTTAACATGTGAGTAATATCATAATGCTAATGTGAATTAAATACCCATAATAACTGTTCAGTTGCATGTACATAATGTGCAAATGACTGGAAGATGTAAATGATTCAATGTATTTTGTGCTCCTGGTGTAACAGAATGCAAACTAATGTGCTCAATTTTTCTGCCCGACAGTGAGATAAAACAGTCTTCATATCAATAATACCAATCTCAAAGGAAAAAGATACTTTCACTCCTGGCCAGCTGATGGCTCCATTTCACCAAGGACATCAAGTGTCATAAGAATCCATTTCACCAAGGACACTGAATGTCATAAGAATCCATTTCACCAAGGACATTCAGTGTCAAAAGAATCCATTTCACCTAGGACATTCAGTGTCATATGAATCCATTTCACCTAGGACATTCAGTGCCATAAGAATCCAAGGCAGGCATGTACCGCATTAACATTGCAAGAGTGTCATCTCAAATCCAAACAGTCACAAAGCATCTTGCAATGTATATATAATGCAATGAATATCAGATCCTCTGCATTACAGTTGTGATATTATTTATGATATATTTATTTCTGTTGCACACTTTGCTACTGTATGTAAAAATGTACTATAGGCCAATGATCTTTCAATGCTATCAATAAAGATTGACTGGTTGATTCAGCTGTCTGCCCTACTGAAGACGTGGATATCGGGCTTGAAGTCTTGATTGGATATTGGAAACTTGAAAATCACCTAGGACATTCAGTGCCATAAGAATCCAAGGCAGGCATGTACCGCTGAGACATGTAACATCCATGAACAAAAACTGAATAATTCCATGAGCTTTATTTTATTGCATCAGTGATCACAACTGCCATCTTAAAGTGAGAGGTAATCTTTTCCCTCTATATACATACAAATATAAATATAGACTGTTTCTTATATAAATTTAACATAAATTTAATTAAAACTGAAATCCTGAGAATGAGAGATGAACATTAAAATCAAGAAGATTAGAATTAATCTGTATGTATATCTTGTAAACATGACAGCACAAATACCATGAGCATGATGTCCATTCAGTAGTAATAAATCAACATATTTCAGTAGATATTCGCCTGCAATCATTATGTACAGTCAAAATAAACAGTGGAACATTTGTGATATGATAAAATCACAAGCAAATAACATTAGCTGCTCTGTAGGTGCAGCATATATCTAACATCAGCTTTAACATGAAACCAAGTCACAGCAAAATAACAAGATCTGTTGATGAATAAGTACTTGATAGGCTACAGAAACGTTATGTTGACAGCCACTAGCAAACTTTACATGCAGGTTTTCTGACGATGTGTGCACCATATATATCTGTGCCATTGCAATGTCTAGATGTGGTATAGTATCTGTACAAATTGAAACTGAGTGATACAGAGTTGACATAAAGTACTGTACTCACAGGACTGAAGATGAGGAATATATTGTATAATGAATATAAAAACTAGTTTAGCAGTTATAATCCCCAACTCTTGTAAACCTGTCAAACCATGAGAAGCTATGAGTTTTATTCACACATAAGATGTGTTTTACTTGAAAAACAGCTGTTTAATATTACAACATAGAAAGTATATATTAATTGGAAGAACATCACCTATGTTCTATTTTCATGTACATATTACTATTTCATGTATGTTTCTTATAATGTTGCAGGGGTGGAAATAACTTTAAAATTGCTAGTGTACTCCGGTACAGTGGCACATGTAAAATCACTTGCCCTGATCATTTTTCCACTATACTGGCCGTTTTCTTGTTGATTTTTTAAATAAACAACAAATTAATATTGGAAAGGCAACTGGACACCGGTACAGTGTGATATACAAATTTGCTTGCCCAACAGAAAAAAACACTGGACTCTGGCGTCGGGCAATGGGTTATTTCCACCCATGTGGTGAGATAGAAGTAAAATGTCTCAAGTGTGGGAATGCTGCATTGCCTGTAAATTCTCCATACATAAACACCTTAGTATTTTCGGGACAATGAAACTATGCATGTTTGTGATGAGTGAAGTACATGTGATGTGCCAAGCGCTGTAGGTTAAAATAACAAGTTGTTTAAATACAAATAGATCTAAGAGATGTATTTCATCAAAACAGAAAGGTGAGAAATGCATGATTTGTTACTTTTGTCATGCACATAATTACGATTTTTTGCACATAATACAATGTTTTACTGCCATTTAAGAAACAAGAAAATAGTAATATTTTTGTTGGTTGGTTACTTGATGCCACACTCCGCATAAAATAACTCCAGTGTGTAATACATTCGGCTTTCAGAGCTTTGACACTTTAAAATGAAACATGTGACTTTATGGATAACAACTTCTTGTTTATTGCATAGAGCAATGTTTCTGTTTAGGTTCTTACTAAGACTTCTTGTTTATTGCATAGAGTGACAATTGTGTTTAGGTTCTTACGCGGTTATCAAGCTAAGACTTCTTCTTTATTGCATAGAGTGACGATTGTGTTTAGGTTCTTACACGGTTATCAAGCTAAGACTTCTTCTTTATTGCATAGAATGACGATTGTGTTTAGGTTCTTACACGGTTATCAAGCTAAGACTTCTTCTTTATTGCATAGAATGACGATTGTGTTTAGGTTTTTACACGGTTATCAAGCTAAGACTTCTTCTTTATTGCATAGAATGACGATTGTGTTTACACACAACAAACAAGTAGTTGTTATCCAGAAAGTCGTATGCTTCATTATTGACCCAGCAACTTCTAGAATGCTGATATAACACTTCAGATTTTATGCCCATGTTAATATGCGAGTGAATGAGGGAGTAAATGTTGCTTTAAGCCACATCAGCTATTTTTTGCAGCTATTCTCAGCTAGATAATATATTTCAGAAATTCATTGCAAACGTCCATTAATTAATTCAGTTATGCAGTGTTCAAATTTAAGGAGAATCGGAGGTTGTACAGTTCTTGAACTCTGGTACTGGAGCCTTAGACCCATTAGAATTTAACATGAGTGTCATGAGAAGGACCCCTACACCTGTATGCTTAATTCACAGTTATGGCATAATGTATGTGTCAGACAGTATATATATAATAAATTAGAGGTAATTATGGTCAAATATAACCATTTTTTGTCACAAACTTCTCAGCAAGCACAGTTTTATGAAAATGACACAGATGGTGCACACCGACTTACAATCTGCTATGTAACTATATACATTGTTAATGGTGTTTTTGGATAGGATAATCTTTCTTTTAAATATTGTGGAATGTTTTTAATATCAAGGCTGAAATATAGTCTCAGTTTACAATTATCAGATGTCAACATCAATAAATTACTGTTTTCGGTTAACACTAAAAGCACTTGGGTGTCAATTTATGACTTTCAATAAGTGTTTGATATCAACAGGGACCAAAAGCATATTCATGATTATATTTGTAATGTCCCAACAGGCAGTTTATGAAACAGTCAATAAACATAATCAACAGTGATATAAAACCTAATACCTGCAATATGCTATCTATTTACTCTACATGAGATCAATATTTATTTTGAGGGACTCCACAAAAAGCAAAATTGACGATGTTATAACTATATTTCGTGACTCTAATAAAAACAATCAAATTGTGAAACCAGAAAACAGTCAAAACTGTTATGCATTTCATGTGACCACTTCCAAACCAATGAATATGGTGGAAAACTTTGCATTACATAATAAAGCATAATTGCTAGACATTGTATGACAACAAAAGGCATTGAGGGTTTATAGGGAAGACCAAGATTGACACACCCACAACAATCTTGAAAAAAAGAGAAAATATATTTTCTTCTTATATTCTGGAGAACATTAATAAATGAGACAAAAAATCAGGCAATAATGGGCAATGATGGATAGACATATACAAACATTCAAGACTTAGTCTTCATTTCACATAAATGAAAAATATGTGGAATAACGTGAATAGTGGGTGACATGATATTGTGGATTCCTGGGTATCCTAGGTATCCTACATTACATCAGATTACCACCTGACCTCATTTAGTGTTGCATCTTGTAAACAATACACATCTGAAGACTTAATGGATATGATGTTAGTTCTGCAGCAATGGGAATGAACATGAATAATTGTGCAGTGCTTATGGATTCAAGGATTACTCGCTCAAGTGACCAGTTTTGGAATCCTTGCACCAATTACAGAAAATACCAATATTGGAGATAAAGCAATATATAAAGATATATACAGACTATTTTTTTGCCATTACAACACAGTAGTTGGAAGTCATTTCTATAAAATGCCAAGGTTAATACCAGGGTGCTGTTCCACATAGCGACCGTAGCGGTAAGATGATCGTAACTCCCATACTTTAACATAGAATTACGACTGTCGTAGTGGGAAGATGATCGTAACTCACATACTTTAACATAGAATTACGACTGTCATAGTGGTAAGATGATTGTAACTCCCATACTTTCACATAGAATTACGACTGTCATAGTGGTAAGATGATCGTAACTCCCATACTTTAACATAGAATTACGACTGTTGTAGCGGTAAGATGATCGTAACTCCCATACTTTAACATAGAATTACGACTGTTGTAGCGGTAAGATGATCGTAACTCCCATACTTTAACATAGAATTACGACTGTTGTAGCGGTAAGATGATCGTAACTCCCATACTTTAACATAGAATTACGACTGTTGTAGCGGTAAGATGATCGTAACTCCCATACTTTAACATAGAATTACGACTGTTGTAGCGGTAAGATGATCGTAACTCCCATACTTTAACATAGAATTACGACTGTTGTAGCGGTAAGATGATCGTAACTCCCATACTTTAACATAGAATTACGACTGTTGTAGCGCTACGATCACTTTGAGGAACGGGGCCCAGCAGCATAACCATCAAAGTGCAATTTAGAATCCTTGTCACCGACAGGAAGTAAGTACTATATGTTAATGAACGACACCAAGGATTCATGAAAAGGTATATATGCCCCACTAGTAGTACCCATCCCCACAAAGTTAAATTTTGATCTGGAACATACACAGGAACATATTGCACAAGTGAAAATATGGAATTGTATGGGATAAAATTTCATATTTCAAATGATCTTTTATCAATGGACAAGCCATGTGCTTGGTATATCTCCACTCTGTCCAACAAAGTAACTAACACTGACATGTCAGTGATACATCAGGGGTTGATGGAATGATAAACAAGCAGAAAAGCTGCAAGGATCATCAAGATGACAACAATCCCCTCTACCACTTGTGGAAACTGTGCATACTGTCGTATGTCTCCTGGTACTCAGCAAGTCCCACCCTTTACAAACACTTTTGGGAATGTCTTATTGTTTAATGGGTAATGACAATTTAAAGAATTGAGTACGCACATACACTGTTTTGTTCAACATGCAATTTCTTCAACTTCAGTTCTCAATCAGATAAACTATAGTTGATGTGAATTGAATAACTTACAATACACAAATCTGAATTTAAATGGATACAGTTTAATGTTTTCATGTGATCCCATGGCCTGACAGCATCTCAGACCAACTGAGTCAACCCATCCAGCTACAAATCTGAACACTATGACTAGAAAGTAACTAAAAAATGTATACTCAAATACATGGGCAAGAAAAGGAAAACATTCCCATGAACAATCACATTAAAATCCCATGGTTACTGTGATTCTTTTACTCGAGGTCTGAGGATAACTCCACAGAAGGTTGGTTGCATCAGGTTATTCTTCACAATGCCGTCTGAATTAAGCAGAATTGTTTCATTTCTTCACCACTACGATTTAGAGATTTTGATTTTAACAGACTAAACCACACACAGAACAAACTTTTCCTTAAAAGGTACTTAATTTGGGTATAAATGCGGATTGGTGAATGTTTGCTGGAGATGTTCTAAGATATTCAAGGAGAAGTACTGTTTCAGAATTAAAGATTGGAGTTGGTGAGACAATAGTGAGGAACATCTTCAAAACTAAGCTAAAACTTGGGGCAATCATCATATTTTCATTCAGTCAGATTAAACTCTAAATCCTGAGAGAAAACATAATCCATGAAAGATGATAGTACTTGTGAGCTCTACATATCTGGCCATTTTGTCTATAACACAGTGAAGAAGGTGCAAATTAAAGGGTATGAATACACAATTGTACAAAAAGTCAATTTCATGGAAAATATAACATCTTGAAATCTAATATATGCAGACTATATTTTGATTTCTCTTATTCTTTCACTGCCTGAAAACAATATTTAACAGCAGGTCATTAAATATAACTTTTGTTTTGTTGTCATGGATACAGTAAAGGGAGGTGAGTTTGTCTGGAAGACTTCAACAATCACAAGACTGAAAACATCTTTGTACATAAGGCACATGCTGGCGGAGAAGTATCCAATAGTTGCTGAGGAGTATTACAGGAATCAAGCTAATTACCACGTCATCACTGTATGTGGTCACGCCGACGCGCCCGTCGTGACGCAACATGAGCCATGATTTCCTTGGTCACAAGTCGGATCAGGAGCTGAAATGACACAGAATGTTGCTTGATAAACAGGTTACATGGAGGAAAGGACCAGTTTCAAGATATGAAGGTGTTATATTACAATTACTGGACAAGAATATCTCAAGGTGTACATTTATGTTAAAAAATGAAGATTTAAGAGTGTGAACCTGCATCGAGTGAGAGTGCATAGATGTCCAAGATATTTTTATGTATTAAAATATGAAATAAAAAAAGAAGTTTAATCCATAAAAATATCTTGGACATGAATATAATAGATAATAAAGAAATGATTACATTCGCATGTGTGCCACACGGCTTATACGAAACTCATGCACAATTGTGTATTGTCCTCGCTCGCACTCTGGCAATACAAAATTTCACACTTGATTCCTATAAGTCGTATGACACATTTGTTTGTGCAATAATCTCTATTTGTTACATGCTACTCATCATTGATCAACTGGCTGCTCATTCTAAGGTGACTGGATCATGCAGGTAGTTTGGGTGGGCAATGTCTATGTCATATTCCCTTGCATGAGCCGAAATAAGGATAATCCATCAAAGTCCAATGTATGAAACACAGTCTAGCTCCTCATCCATATGGCAACCTGTACTTCACGACAACTGCACATTAACTGCACTCTGGACATGTTCCCTTAATGTTTACAGCAAAAAACACTTCACTACAGGAGCTTATTCACCTATATCAAGTATGGATTCATGAGCTACAAAATTAATGGATGAAAGAGCATGGAGCTACAAGATTCATGAACGAGTAAGCATCGATTCATGAGCTACAAGATTCATGACATAGCGATTTACGATGAGTGAGTGTGGATTCATGAGCTACAAGATTAACGGATGAGTAATAGAGTGAATGTGTGTGAATGCGAGTGAATGAGAGTGAATCAGAGTTTAATTGTGAACCCACAGGGTTTTCAAAAGGCTGTATCTGTATTTTGCATTTACGTTAATTTTCACTTTGTAATCTCTCCAGTAAACATGTTGGTCATCTCCAGTGTGTGAGCCTCTGGCTTGGTCAGACCCGTGGTAGTCATTAAGTTAACCCACCGACTCTCTGGCTGGGAGGATTTACTCAGAATTCTGACAGAGGATTCATGAGGTGGAAAGTTGTGTGGTGTGTGATGACTCAGTAGTGGTGAAGACCAAGTGCAGGCAATGACGGTCTCAAATTTTGCCCACTTGTACAAAGCGATTTTAGCATTAAGAACACTGAGTCTCAGTATGGACCATTGTGTTGAACCCACTGTGCTAAACTATAATCCTGTGTGACAATCTTGCGTGACACTGAATGTGATGTATGAATGGCAACATTGACAATTAGATTGTTTGCTCAAAACATCTGAAACCAGGTTTGTAATGCAAATATTCTTTTCTGAAGAATATGATTTACCTGTGTTTATGTTATGAATGAAAATATTGGGGGTTTCCTCAACATGTGACAAAATGAGGTGTTTTGAAAGGTAGAATGAACGAATGAACATTTGATGACAGAATTTATGTTAGACTGACTGACTGACTGAGTTTGGTTTTACGCCGCTTTTAGCAATATTCCAGCAACATCACGGCGGGGGACACCAGAAATGGGCTTCACACATTGTGCCCATGTGGGGATTCGAACCCGGGTCTTCGGCGTGACGAGCCAATGCTTTAACCATTAGGCTACCCCACACCGCCCGAATTTATGTTAGAGACTGAAGCTCATGTACAAGCCACCTGTTGATGAAAAGGGTGAGAAGTATCTACAGAGATTAACCAGTACTGCTTTGAGAAAGGAGTACACCGCCACTCACAGACACTGAGATCATGCATTCACTACACTTGAATACAGTAACTGTCTAGAACATTAAATCATCACACTTCATCACATCAGTGATGCTGTCTAGAACATGCACATCATGCCAAGACTAGCTACTTGTACCCATGCAATCAATATCCTTTATGCATCCATCAATGTATTGATTAACTACAGATCTCTTTTGGGCTTACAGTAGATTGTGACTCACTGTACTACTGACTAAAGCCTTGACTTGAATGTAGTGATTGTGAAGAAGAAAAACAGAACAAAAGCAAGTGCAAGGTGGGTGATAGGGTGGGTACAGAGAGAATTAGTAAAAAACCAGTCACATCCTAAAAGGGAAAATCAAAACAAAACTCAACATGATGACCTTTTTTTATTCATCCCTCTTGTTTTTTTACTTACAATAAAAAAACTTGTTAAAAATTAACAACTGTATAAAAATGTGGACAGAATTTGCAATTAATATGTAATGAAATCTGTTACATGAAAAGAGTCAGTATAAAGCATCATACACATTCTGATTACCACATCTAATCATGTAAGCTGTAAGAGAACAATTTGTCTTATAACAATAAGGGTAAGGGCTGAGGATAGGAGGGGTAAGGTGTTGTGGGGCGGGGCTAGGGTTGTGTTTGAGGGGCAAGGGTTGTGTTTGAGGGGCTAGGGGTGTGTTTGAGGGGCTAGGGGCGTGTTTGAGGGGCTAGGGGTGTGTTTGAGGGGCTAGGGTTGTGCTTCCCGTGCTTCAAATACTCAATAACACCCTGAAATTGGCCAACACATGATCGACATTGTAAACACAAAAGTAAACCAAAAGGTCCACACACGTTTTTCTGTCTGAACACTCATTGACATCGAGTATGGGTACAGCAGTGAAATGTCATCAGCCGGCCATGTCTCCCATGGTGGCATTTGGAACTGCTCATTTGTGACGTCACAATGGGATTATAATGACGTCATCACAGCTGACGACATAACAATACAATGGTGTGAGCGATGTATGTATGTATTAATACGCAGAGAATTTCCGGGAATCGAATACCATTTGATCACGTTTTTCAACCAATCAGATTAAAGAACACAGTGACTTTTGGTTTACAATGTAGGTTGTGTGACGGACAGGGTAGGAGTCTGAGAAAAGGGTGTGGGGATGGCCGCTTGTGTTGGGGGTGGGGCTATATCAGGAGGACAAGGTTCTCAGGGTGTGGCAGTGGGCAAGGTGGAGTTCAGGAGGACACGCAGCCATGATGGTAATGCTAAGCTGGACAGATTATTTGGGAGTGGCAACAAATTCTGTTTACTGTACCAACGAAGGTTAGCAGATTTGAACACAGCAGTTAGAATATATACTAGTAGGTCAAGAAGTATTGCTGCTTAATTAAGTACATGAGATAAATGCTTATTTTGACAGTGCAGCTAGAGTGATATGTAAAAATCGGATGGTTTTGCTTTGCGTTAAAGGGACACCATAAGTTTGGGGTAGGTGAGGGGTGGGCATAATGGGGTTTGGGATTGCAGGAGAGTGATGAGGGCACCCCCTTGATATTTTATCATGCACACCAGCTGTACCACTACTACACATCCATGCATACAGAAATACATCCACTGTCAATTTTGAACACGTTAGTAAATAGCCATGCTGCAACATATAGGTAAGCAATATGGTTAATCATTATGTCAGCATAGCTTGAAGATGTACAGCCAAACAAGGTGTGTAGTTCAGATATATACCAACAACATGTTCAATAAATAAAGTATGTACAGAACAAAATATTAACAGCCAATAGAAAATAATTCATAAATAATCCACAAATAAAAGAACATCTGTAACCTTCATTCATATATAAATATACATAAATATATATAACAATGTATCACTAAAATATCCCAGTTACACCATGTTTGTGATAATGACAATGCTCAGAGTAAAACGTCCTGTCTTTCAGGGCCAACGATCACAGTTCTGCCTCTATCTTCATGTCATGTTCTCATTAAAGGTTCTTTCATATTTTGCGAGCTCGTATATCTTCATGTTATGTTCTCATGAAAGATTGTCTTTCATATTTTGTGAGCTCATATATCTTCATGTTATGTTCTCATGAAAGATTCTCTTTCATATTTTGCGAACTCATAAACAAATAGTAAACATAAAACAAGTTACTTGTCAACAAATGACTGTGTTTTTGATATTTGGTACACATTCACAAGCAATTCTATTCACAACCATATAATTCAACATTTGTTCAGGACCATGCTTATGATTAATGGTGACTATTTTAGTCCTCAGCAAACTTTTCAAGGACATTTCTTACCAAATACAGACATATGTTTGTCAATGCACATAATAGCCTATATACAAAAATTCTATTATTTAAAATATGTTCAATTTTCTTCTGTTTTTGAAATCTGCAGTGTTTAACATTTATAGAACATTAATGTTCCCATTACAAGACAGGTGGAAGACAGCAATGCTCAAGTCACACAAACTACACTGGCTCTACCCATACCATGTTAACAGTGCTACAAGCATTGGTGTCAGTATATGACAGGGCTCTAAAATAGCAAATAAATGTATACTATAGTTGTTTTTGATCAAAGTCACAAAAGACCTGAAGCTGTACAAGTCCTAAATTAGAAAACCTGTTCACAACTCAGAGAAGAAAGTACAAACACTTTTAAGGGCAGTCCATACAAAACTGACTTGATCTTTGCTTCATAAATATCAACAAATAGAAAACAAATGTTTAAACTCTTGATAAAATAAAGTGAGATGATCCATTCACAACATAGATAAATACACACTTATCACATTTGCTTGAGATGTTTCCCTCCTTGATAAACATCCTTGATAAACATCAATCATCAACAAAACACCCAGGGAACCGCCATGACCGTTTCCTCGGTTAACAGACACTAGTCACACAGGGCAGTAATCCTATCAACTCAAACTAATCTCTTAACATCATTTTGAGGTGATTTACCATTAAATTATTCATGAAACACATGATTGTCTGACCTTAATAAATAGCAACAAATTTGATTTGACGTTTCAGTGGTGAGTTAGGATTCTGGGTAACACTGACTGAATGACTGAAATATTATTTTGATTGTTCAGAAAAGAGACATTGGTAAAACAGGTGGATATGAGAAGGTGGGTTCCTCATGAACAAATCACCCAAGAAAAAATAAATGATAAAGAGTACAAAAAGGGAGAAAACAGTAAACTATTCCTACAATATCACGACGGGGCAACACGAGGACTGGGCTCCACACTGTGTATCCATGTGGGGAACTGAACCTGGGTGGGTCTTCCGTGTTTTGATCAAATGCTTCAACAACTTGACTATCCCACCATCAACCATGAAGGTGAACGATTCATGAGTGGACTACATCACAGCATTTTGATTACATAGATATTTGTCAGTCAACATTTACCTTCTATACCCGTTGAATGTTTAGACTCTATACCAGTGCAGAAATGATTATACCCGTAGAAATGATTAGGAACATCTAGGCGACAACAATGGACACAGTCAAACATTTACTGTCTATAGCTCCAAATAAATGTAATATAACATAGTTTTCCCTCTACATCATAATACCACAGCCCAGATCCACACAGCAATCAAGGTTTAACAGATATCATTCTGGAGTTTATAGATAATAATGACAAGAAATAAGGGAACTAATGACTTCAATGTTGTTGTTGTTGTTGAGGTGTTCATTTGATTGCACCTTTAATTATTATGAAATTAGGCATCATGTATGAGCAGTATTGTGTGACCACAATCAGCTGAGCTGAACACACACTCAAAATGGAGAATTGTCTCCCAAATGGAGAATTGTGTGTATAACAGGTGAGGTGAGATTGGGTTTAACGTCGTGCTTGAGAATATTTTGCTCATATCACGACGTGCATGCGTGTGTATGTGTGTGTGCGGCTGCTTGTACTAGCCCAGACTTAAGCTGGTTTTATAGTGCTAGCCCACTGAGATACCATGCCGCAGTGAACCAGTCCTTGTTGTACCCATTAATGCCGAGCACCAGGCAGGGACCAACAAGTACCATATTTTAACGTCTTTTGGTATGACACGGTCGGGGATCGAACCAGTGACCTTCCGCTCTCCGTGTGTACAACAGAGGTGGATGTTTCATTGTCAAGTATCAGCAGAAAATTGGAACTGTATGATGATAATGCAAGACTACCCATCACAGATCATCACAGATTATCTTGAGCAAAGGACATACATTCACTGGACTAGCAATAAGGCATAGAGTCATTGGACTGACACATACAGTTATTGGACTGACACATACAGTCATTGGACTGACACATACAGTCATTGGACTGACACATACAGTCATTGGACTGACACATACAGTCATTGGACTGACCTGTTTAGTCCTCTGACATGTCCTCCCCATCTGTGAGAAGCATTTGGGTGGAGAGTGTACATCAGAGACCCCAAACCAGCCAACATGGTCCAGCATCGGGTACAGCTTCAGACAATGTGTCCGGTTCACATTAATTACATCAACTCTACACAAGTTAATGAAACATGTCATCGAGGTGTCATGCATGTATCATCAGACACAAGAGATATTTCATCTATACACCTGTAATTAATTTTGAAAAGATTATTGCCAATATACCATCAGTTCCCTTATTTCTTGTTGGTGGAGTATCTGTTGGGCAAGATTTGGGCTACGTCTGTGCAGTATCTGGGTCATGACAGCTGGAGCAGTAACACCGGTTTGAGATATGGACCCTGGTTCTTCTTTAAAAACACTTAAATACTAACAACAAGGAAAACATTGACTTAAATGGCCGTGGTACTATCTGTACCGATATAATAAAACATGACAATAACAAACAATGCGAGGAAGCCAATAAGGTGGGCAGACAACATGCGAGGTGACAGGCTGTATAGGAGGGGCTTGATGTTGATCCGAAAGTCTCGCCGACATGCTATAACGGTACTCACCAGCAGTGCCGCCAGGTCGGCCGCAATCAGCATGTAGAAGACATTGTTCCAGCCAGTGGGCGAGATCAGCCCAGTCAGCAAAGGGCCAAGAGCAGCGCCTGCAACACACCTGTCATCAGTATTCCTTCTCAAAATAACCTCAAGAATATTAGCAACATTATCAAGTTGTTCTTGTCAGCCTCTGCGATATTCCAGCAACATGATGGCAAACTATCTATAATCAGGTGAGTGATATAATGAGCAACGTCTCTCGCCATCATGACACAAGACACATGACTTCTAAAGCTACTATCAGGGGTTCAAAAATCCCATCGCCCGACGCCCGGGACAAGTCAGTTTTCATTTCAGGCAATCAAATAATGGTATCTTACTTGTCCGTGGGCTACTAGATAATTTCCACTTATGGTTTCAAACTGCAAATTTAATTTCATATCAAAATGTAGCTACTAAATTTTGCAATGATAATATAGTAGAGTTATCTTTCTTTGCTATTTATCACTTTTCAATAAATAGTCCAGTAAACATTAACATCAAATACCTTGTTGATTTATTCTTTCATAATTACATCATGATAATGTCATAAAATCAGGGCAAGTGGAAAATTAATCAGGACAAGTTACTTTCTTAAAGTCACTTTCCCTGTGGCAAGTGGCTTTTTAAACAAATTTTGAACCCCTGACTATGCTTCACCAGCCAGTTGCCTCCTAGTCCCAGCATGTGACTTGGAGGACCAATTCTGCCTTGGAATAACAAGGACAGGTGTGTGAAGACAATACCATGATGGCCTGGTGTAATCATGCCTGGAACAGACAGACCAGCTGTATGTCCAAGACATACAATAAAGGGACTATCACCTGTAACACACAATTCAAGCTAGTCAATCAGGCAATGGTGTTCATGCCTGGAACAGACAGACCAGCTGTATGTATAGACATACAATAAAGGGACTATCACCTGTAACACACAATTCAAGCTAGTCAATCAGGCAATGGTGTTCATGCCTGGAACAGACAGACCTGCTGTATGTAGAAACATACAATAAAGGGACTATCACCTGTAACACACAAATCGAGCTAGTCAATCAGGCAATGGTGTTCATGCCTGGTGTTTTACTCATACTGCCTGAGCTGTAGGTCAGACAAACCAGTGGTTGATATCAACAATGCTATACATGTTCGGAATGCAGTAACCCTAAGTTACATATTAGTACAGCACTGCTGTCATCAGCTACATGTCCCATGGTGGTGCAGAATGAGCATCACATACAAGACTGTGTTGGAATGTACTTTCCAATCGTACAACCTCATAACGTTAATGATGAGGCATTCTTAAAGACAATAATGGGCTATATGATAAATTCTATCAATTTCTATTGCTTCAGTGGGATGAACATTTCAAATGGAAGAGACATTCCATTGTGCACGGGCAGTACTGCCATTCAATCAATGCCATCTATTACACATCCTAGAAATTTTGCTTTCTTAAAGATTTCAATTTTATAGTCGAGAATGTTATCGAAGTATCATTCAAAGCATTGTCGAGAATTCAATCTCCATAAATCTAAGAAAGCTGCTTCCTGATAAACTAATGCTGACTTCTTGGTGGATATTTCATTACTTCATCAAAGTCTGCAGAAAGTGGTTCTGGTGTGACTTGCTATAGGATCTTATCATCTTTGAGTGGCATTTTAGAAGTTGGGAAAGAAAATATTGACAAACTGCAATGTTTGGATACAGATTCTTGTACCTTCTTGATACTGGTACAAGAATCTGTATCGGAACATTGCATTCATGAAATAAATGAAGCTGTAATCCATAAAGTTCTCAACATTGGGATGTTACCAGATCAGATTCTAATGGAGACTCCATTGTTACACTGATATCTGACTTGCACTTATAACAGATCTGGAGATTATTCTGAAAAGTTTTCTGAAAGGAAGCGGGGTGTTCACACAAATTAAAGTTCAACCATGTTCTTTGCAATGCTTGCATACCATAGCCTTGGACTACACCAAATGTCTGTTCACAACTGAGATATGTCAGCATTTATGATGCCACCTCAGGTTTCTCAGTTGTCACAAATGGTATATGTATTTTTTTTTTTTTTTTAAATATTATCTTCCATGAACACTTCCAAGTAAAAACTGAAGCTGAAAGGAACTTTCTTTTCATAGATAACACTGTAATATACCTTTACCAAATTTACAAAAATACCCCAGCTTGACCAACTCAAGATGAATAGAACACACATCACAAACCTACCTATACTTCCTGTGCCATCAATAAATGCTGTTACTGTGGCAACTGCCTTAGCATTGCCTTGCAGACTCCTGTGGGTGCCAAGATCAGCACTGACAGCTGTTGTGATGAGAGCATATGGTCCATTCACCAGTGCCCCAACCACCATGAGTAAACCTGGAACAAGGAAACAGCATACAGTATGTAGGCTGGTGTGTCACGGTGCGGTGTAGTGCTGGTGTGTCATGGTGTGGTGTAGAGCTGGTGTGTCATGGTGTGGTGGTGTGGTGTAAAGTGTAGCTGGTGTGGTGTGCTGGTGTGTCATGGTGTGGTGTACGCTGGTGTGTCATGGTGTGGTGTAGTGCTGGTGTGTCATGGTGTGGTGTAGCGCTGGTGTGTCATGGTGTGGTGTAGCGCTGGTGTGTCATGGTGTGGTGTAGCGCTGGTGTGTCATGGTGTGGTGTAGCGCTGGTGTGTCATGGTGTGGTGTAGTGCTGGTGTGTCATGGTGTGGTGTGGTGTAGCGCTGGTGTGTCATGGTGTGGTGTAGCTGGTGTGTCATGGTGTGGTGTAGTGCTGGTGTGTCATGGTGTGTGGTGCAGTGCTGGTGTGTCATGGTGTGGGTGTAGCTGGTGTGTCATGGGTGGTGTGCTGGTGTAGTGCTGGTGATTGGTGTGTCATGGTGTGGTGTAGTGCTGGTGATCACATTAATGCAACGGTACTACGACTGGTGTAATTTTCTGTCTGAAAATGGTCGTGTTTCAGTGTGACGTGGCAGGGGACTGAAACAAACACCTGCTCTTGAGGCAATGGTGGTCCAGCCTTGAAAGATGCCCTGTTTGCCCTGATTATGCTTCTAACTTAAGTGTACAGATCTGTGATCTGCATGAATTCAGGTCATCCTGCAACATTAAGCTGACACACCGTGGTATAACTGGAATACTGACACAAGTTACGTTACTCCAAACTCACTAACTCTTACAATTTGGAAATGTTTACTGACAACTGCCTCAGGCTTAGGGCAAGGTGAGGTGAAATTTGGTTTAACGTCGTGCTTGAGAATATTTCGCTCATATGATGACGTGCTTTCGTGTGTATGTGTATGTGCGGCTGCTTCTACTAGCCCAGACTGAAGCTGGTTTTATTGTGCTAGCCCACTGAGATACCATGCCGCAGTGAAGCATGAATACCGCACACAGACACATTATACTGACTCCGAGCCGACCAGTCCTTGCTGTACCCATTAATGCTAAGCGCCAGACAGGGACCAACAAGTACCATATTTGAACGTCTTTTGGTATGACGCTGTTGGGGATCGAACCCGCAACCTTCTGCTCTCCGGGCGGACGCTCTAACCACTACACCACGGAAGCGGTCGGCTTAGGGCAAAATATCAGCCTGTGCAGGTCCAGATAACTCCCTGAACATCAAAGGCTTTATTATAAGTGCATGCAACATGGAAATTTATTGTATGGTTATAGGCAATGAGAAGCTTACTTACATATGTTCCGTGTGTAGTCTAAACTTCCAAACAGGTCATACACATACATCTGAAACCGGAAGAGTGACATAGAGCAACTAGTTGATGTCAACATGGACAGTGTAACATTTGGCCATTTACTGTCCCACACAAGTATCTAGAACCTAGAATGTATTAGAAGGTGATTTCATCAAGACAAAATCAGTTTTGATGTTGGCGTCTGCATATGACAAAATGGCACCATGGCACTACAGTGGACAAAATGGCAGTACAGTGGATAATACTGACCATAGGGGCTGCCAGGAACAACATGACCATACATGTAGACGCCCTTGCCCCTGTGAAGTCCGATATCACACCCGCTAAGATTCCACCTGAGAAACAAAACCACATCAGGAATGAAGTTTGTACAGTTAAACTTGAAAACACATCTCAACATTTACTTGTTCCCTTTTTAAGATTCACCTAAAAATATATAAACTTTTATCATCATAATGAAAGTCATATTCTACATGATACTTCAAAGAGTGAGTAAAAGTGAAAAGCTTGATCAAAATGGGTACTGGAGTGAGGAGCGTATTTCATGTTATGAAAGAGCCTGAATAACAAAAAATACTTGAATAAGCAACCTACCGACAATTCCTCCAACATCAAACAATGCTGAGAGATCCGCTGAAGTCTGTGCACTGTAACTAGCTGGAAACATACATTCAAAAACATAATAATAGATGTTATTGTAAATTGTAAACACTGAGCTTTAAAGTCCATCACATTTACATCAGTGAAACAATTTCAGTGTGAGACAATATCTTGAACCTTATGATATTCGCACTAGACACCAAACAAATACAAGTATCAACATGTTCAAGTTTGTAAACAGAGACACTTTCATATTTGTTCCTTTTTCCAGAAGGAATCTGGCCATTCTTAATTTTAAAAAATCATGCAGTTAACTGGCAATATGTCAGCTAAGTGATAATAAACATATGATGTCTTCCTAGTTGAGTAAAGGGAGGTAAGACCTAACCACACCCACTCAGCTTCAGAAGCTGACTGAGGAGCTGAAGTCACAGGTAATAACTTACTTTTGGCAGAGATGTATTTGGGCAGCCAGAACAGAAATGTGTAGCTGACCAATTTGGCAAAGAACAGACAGAGAGCAAACTCTACCACACCCTGAAACAAAAGAAAAGTTATAAACTGAACATATTATCACAGTTAATTCACTGCCTGTCCTAAAGTAAATCATGCCACTGTCCCTTTGAGTGAATGAGACACTTCACTGGTATTCTAATGGTGGAAGTACCGTGCTACTTACTGGTATTCTCATGGTGCAAGTATTGTGCTACTTACAGGTATTCTCATGGAGCAAGTATTTTGCTACTTACAGGTATTCTCATGGCACCAAGTATTGTGCTACTTACAGGTATTCTCATGGCACCAAGTATTGTGCTACTTACAGGTATTCTCATGGTGCAAGTATTGTGCTACTTACAGGTATTCTCATGGCACCAAGTATTGTGCTACTTAAAGGTATTCTCATGGAGCAAGTATTGTGCTACTTACAGGTATTCTCATGGCACCAAGTATTGTGCTACTTACAGGTATTCTCATGGCACCAAGTATTGTGCTACTTACTGGTATTCTCATGGTGCAAATATTGTGCTACTTACTGGTATTCTCATGGCACCAAGTATTGTGCTACTTACTGGTATTCTCATGGCACCAAGTATTGTGCTACTTACTGGTATTCTCATGGCACCAAGTATTGTGCTACTTACAGGTATTCTCATTGCACCAAGTATTGTGCTACTTACTGGTATTCTCATGGCACCAAATATTGTGCTACTTACAGGTATTCTCATGGTGCAAGTATTGTGCTACTTACAGGTATTCTCATGGTGCAAGTATTGTGCTACTTACTGGTATTCTCATGGTGCAAGTATTGTGCTACTTACTGGTATTCTCATGGCACCAAATATTGTGCTACTTACAGGTATTCTCATGGTGCAAGTATTGTGCTACTTACAGGTATTCTCATGGTGCAAGTATTGTGCTACTTACTGGTATTCTCATGGTGCAAGTATTGCGCTACTTACTGGTATTCTCATGGCACCAAGTATTGTGCTACTTACTGGTATTCTCAGGGTGCAAGTATTGTGCTACTTACTGGTATTCTCATGGAGCAAGTTTTGTGCTCCTTACTGGTATTCTCATGGCACCAAGTATTGTGCTACTTACTGGTATTCTCATGGTGCAAGTATTGTGCTACTTACAGGTATTCTCATGGTGCAAGTATTGTGCTACTTACAGGTATTCTCATGGCACCAAGTATTGTGCTACTTACAGGTATTCTCATGGTGCAAGTATTGTGCTACTTACTGGTATTCTCATGGCACCAAGTATTGTGCTACCGACTGGTATTCTCACGGTGCAAGTATTGTGCTACTTACTGGTATTCTCATGGAGCAAGTTTTGTGCTCCTTACTGGTATTCTCATGGCACCAAGTATTGTGCTACTTACTGGTATTCTCATGGTGCAAGTATTGTGCTACTTACAGGTATTCTCATGGTGCAAGTATTGTGCTGCTTACAGGTATTCTCATGGCACCAAGTATTGTGCTACTTACAGGTATTCTCATGGCACCAAGTATTGTGCTACTTACTGGTATTCTCATGGTGCAAGTATTTTGCTACTTACAGGTATTCTCATGGCACCAAGTATTGTGCTACTTACAGGTATTCTCATGGCACCAAGTATTGTGCTACTTACTGGTATTCTCATGGAGCAAATATTGTGCTACTTACTGGTATTCTCATGGTGCAAGTATTGTGCTGCTTACTGGTATTCTCATGGCACCAAGTATTGTGCTACTTACTGGTATTCTCATGGCACCAAGTATTGTGCTACTTACTGGTATTCTCATGGAGCAAGTATTGTGCTACTTACAGGTATTCTCATGGTGCAAGTATTGTGCTACTTACTGGTATTCTCATGGCACCAAGTATTGTGCTACTTACAGGTTTTCTCATGGAGCAAGTATTGTGCTACTTACAGGTATTCTCATGGCACCAAGTATTGTGCTACTTACAGGTATTCTAATGGCACCAAGTATTGTGCTACTTACTGGTATTCTCATGGCACCAAATATTGTGCTACTTACAGGTATTCTCATGGTGCAAGTATTGTGCTACTTACAGGTATTCTCATGGCACCAAGTATTGTGCTACTTACTGGTATTCTCATGGTGCAAGTATTGTGCTACTTACTGGTATTCTCATGGCACCAAGTATTGTGCTACTTACAGGTATTCTCATGGTGCAAGTATTGTGCTACTTACTGGTATTCTCATTGCATCAAGTATTGTGCTACTTACTGGTATTCTCATGGTGCAAGTATTGTGCTACTTACAGGTATTCTCATGGTGCAAGTATTGTGCTACTTACAGGTATTCTCATGGCACCAAGTATTGTGCTACTTACAGGTATTCTCATGGTGCAAGTATTGTGCTACTTACTGGTATTCTCATGGCACCAAGTATTGTGCTACTTACTGGTATTCTCACGGTGCAAGTATTGTGCTACTTACTGGTATTCTCATGGAGCAAGTTTTGTGCTCCTTACTGGTATTGTCATGGCACCAAGTATTGTGCTACTTACTGGTATTCTCATGGTGCAAGTATTTTGCTACTTACAGGTATTCTCATGGTGCAAGTATTGTGCTGCTTACAGGTATTCTCATGGCACCAAGTATTGTGCTACTTACAGGTATTCTCATGGCACCAAGTATTGTGCTACTTACTGGTATTCTCATGGTGCAAGTATTGTGCTACTTACTGGTATTCTCATGGCACCAAGTATTGTGCTACTTACTGGTATTCTCATGGAGCAAATATTGTGCTACTTACTGGTATTCTCATGGTGCAAGTATTGTGCTGCTTACTGGTATTCTCATGGCACCAAGTATTGTGCTACTTACTGGTATTCTCATGGCACCAAGTATTGTGCTACCGACTGGTATTCTCATGGAGCAAATATTGTGCTACTTACTGGTATTCTCATGGTGCAAGTATTGTGCTACTTACTGGTATTCTCATGGCACCAAGTATTGTTCTACTTACAGGTATTCTCATGGCACCAAGTATTGTGCTACTTACAGGTATTCTCATGGCATCAAGTATTGTAATAGCTTTGTCCTCTTTCTTCTTCAACAGGGGCTGCAATGACAACAATGATACAAAACCTGTCAGTTGTTTCATGTAATGACAGATCAGAAATAAAGGCTTCACCCAGTGATAGATAGATATACAAAGGTTCGATTCAAGGATAGATGCCTACATTTTACTGAAGTCACTGTAACTCCATAATATCAATTACAAAGTACTGAACTCTTTGGTTAGGTTAAGGAATGTGAGGGGTTGAAATTTTTAATAAACTCCACTGGACACTGGTCCAGTAAACTTTCAGTCGGGCAATGGTATTTTTCAACCCCTGAATGTCAATTGTGGTATCAGGGGTCTCGACTGTAAATTTCTATCCAATGTTGGAAGAGTCTCGACTGTAATTTTCTATCCAATGTTGGAAGAGTTCATCTTCCGCAGTGTTGCTGGTCAAACAGCACATGGCTCACCTGGTCATCACGGTCGGGGTCGTCGTACTTGGATGAAGTGGGAGTGGCCTCGACCTCTACATCTACCTCCACATTAGCGACCACACTCTACAAGTCAACAAGATGGAGGTTAGATATACAGAGTTTTATGAGTTGTTGTTATAACACCAATTTCCTTACTGCATGATTAAACCGGGACTGGTCTCTATTGATTGAGAGATAACAAATGATAGCTGTGTGAGAAGGACCAATCATAAAGGATTGCTATATTAGATAATGAAAAAGGTAAGCAAACCTAGACAGAATAGCAATACTAGCAGGAAAGATATGGGTTAACAATACTAGGGGGAATGATAACAAGAAGACAAAGCCATCAAAATCCTCCACAACGGCAAAATACTCTTTATGAATATATCTACTAGTTATGATTATGTCAAATGTTTTGGAGTATATATAGCAAAGCGGAAGGAGAGTATTGAAAGGTTTTTATGATCTGCTCCAAAATGGAGCACTACCACCAAATTCAGTTGAAGCCTTACTTGTTGCCATGGAAATGCAATAAGATGACATCCTCATAGTCACACCCTAAGTCACGTTTCCATGGAAACAGCAAAAAATAAAATTTGTATCTGGGTCTAACCATCAAATGGCACATCTATGGATCATGCTTGATATGTGTACCAAGTTTAATGAAGCTAGCATATTTAGTTTAGGAGATCTGCTCCGGACAAGATGACATCCTCATAGTCACAGCCTAAGTCATGTTTTCATGGAAACAGGAAAAAATAAAATTCATATCTGGGCCTTACCCCCAAAAGGCACATCTCGGGATCACGCTTGATATGTGTACCAAGTTTGGTTAAGCAATCAGCAATAGTTTAGGAGATATACTTTGGACAAAGTGTGATGGACGCACGGACGGACAGATGTAACTCGTTTCTATATCCCCGCAACTTCGTTGTTACGGGGGATAATAAAGGATATTAATACTGGGGGTTGGGGTGGGACATAATAAAGGATAAGAGTGTGAGAGGGAAAGATCATAAAGGCTGGTAATACCAAGAGGTAAGTTTGTATAGTTTCGTAAATGTATCTAACTTACAGTTCCCTGGTGATCTGGCAAACTGCAGCCAACATCTTCTGGTTCTGAAATAGTGTGAAGGGGAAATCAGAATCTTGCACTTAACCCCGACAGAAATGCTTGTTGATTGTTTACAATAAGTTGGGCCTGTCCTTCATTGATGAAACCACCGTCTGCTTCATGCTGCTGATCTCCATGGATAATCCACCCATGATCACATTCACTGTTGATCATATTCATGTCCATTATATGAAGAAAGTAATATCTCACTTCATTCATTCCCATCAGTTCCATACAATTATGGGATTTTTCAGCTTGATTACACAACGAAAACAGTCACAAAGTTTGTACCCTTGTTTGTGTGTGAACTTCGATGAAGAAAACATGATGCACTAACTGCATTTTTCATGTCTCTTCCTCTCTCTAATGACAGCCTCCACCGCAACTTCTCAACCAGTTCGAAGTAATCTTTATGTTTTCTTCTAAGCCACAAAACTTATGCATTATCTTTTGTATATTACAGTTCTTATTACAGAAAATGCAGTAGTCCAGGAGACAGCGTCTCTAATTGCCTAGCAACTATTTCCGTTTAAAAACATTTTCGTCTCTTTAACATCAGTCTGTCATGTACCATTTGCAAGCTAAGCAGCCTTCTTGTACTAATGCAAATAAGGTGTGTGGTAAAGAATTAGTTTCTGAAATAAAAATCACTGAAATTAACAGCACATGTCAACAGTGATAGATATTATTTCTCATTCAGTTATTCAACTACATAATGTAATCCTCCGTAGGGTGCAAACACTGGTTTTGTTAAGATACATGGTACATTTGCAGGCACTCACTTGGGACCAGGAAGAAGAAGGTGAGGACGCCAAAGACAGCGATGATGATACCGGGCACCACGAAGGACCAGCCCCAGGAATGGTCGACGAATATCCCAGGGATGACAGAACCGAGGATGTTGCCGACTGAGGTGTGCGAGTTCCATAACCCCATGATGAGACCCCGTCTGGAAACAACACTTTCTGGTGTTAGATCTTGTTCTAGTGTTAGAACAACTTTAAAAGTAATGCTTTGAAACTAAACAATTTCTGAAGCGCATGTTTGCGTCAAGAGTATTACTGGAAGCTGTTTTACAAATCTGTTAGGGACCGTTCATAATTTATGGCTTAGGGGTGGGGTGGGGGGTTGGGTGATGGTGATTTTAAGAGGCTTCTCCATAACAATCATCATCACCGACCCCCCCAGCCATAAATTATGAACGGTCCCTTAGAACCTAATCATCCCCAGAATGGAACATGCTTTCACATCAAAACCTGGCTTCAACCATGCCTTGCAGAATAATCAACTGAAATCAGTAATCCCTCTGTGACTGTACCTGGTTAGCTATACTTTGTACACTCAAAGCCCTACATATTACTGTTCATGAGCTAAAAAAGTTGGAAAAATTATTTTGGATAACATATAAAATTTCATACTTACATTATGTCAAATTTATCAACACTTGTCAATAAAGACTAAAAGCAAAAGTTCCAAATGAGAATAACAAAAATCCTTTTTGACAAAGACATACGAAATTGCACATTTCAGATGAATATATCAGAGGAAGACAATGGAGTTGAGTGGGTTTTCCTCTCCATATTCTGACATCCTAACAATATTACTAGACAGAAGCCTCAAAACCCATATTTACAGTCGGAAGTTTGACAACACAGACATGTCAGGTGACAATGAAGACTTACTTCCCCTTGCCGTACCAGTTCCCCATGCAGGCCACAACACTGGGCCAGCCTGTTGACTGCAGCGCTCCTGCCACTATCTGCACACATAACACAAGCACATGTACAAATACAGGATTTTACTGACTTAAAATATGCTTAAAAAAAGAAAGTATGCATCATTAAATTATTCATAAAATGTCCACTGCATGTAAACTATAACTGACATAAAATAAACAGTGATTTCCTTCAATTCATAATTTAAGAGCCTAACCAATCTGTTATAAGCGTAAGGCATCTGAGAATGTGCAATGTGACATCTCTTGAAAATCAGCTGAGGTGTGCAAAGTGTAACAAGCGTAAGTCCCAGTGTTCATGTGTTGAGCATTCTGATTAGATACTGAGAGCCTGTGAGAAGACCCAGGTAAATCCATTCATGTAACCTGGCCACACAGGCTTGTGAATGCTTCCTGCACACAACACAGCAAGAATGCACCAAGATCCTGTCCTCAAGGGGTCCCTACCCTTCTACACCAGGGGAGGCAACTGTTGGGAACCTATATGCTCCTGAACAAATCACTTTAAAAATACCAAGCTTGAAAATAACCAGCAGATCCAGACTATTCAGAGTTATCATTCTCTGAATATATATAATTTTGATCGTAACAAATAATCCCATTTAATTGAAAAGGAGCCCCAGTGAGATGGTAGATTCTGAACCTGAGGAAATCTAGACTCGCTTCATTTAGGGGTTTAGCATTGCAGGGAGGGCTAGGCAGTAGGGAAAATAATGAGGTTGAGGGACTATGAGACAGGCTGACTTGTACCTAGGATGTGGATCACTGAAGCAGATGCAAATAATGATTTCACTTCTCACAACAATGTTTTCTTAACAATGAAGGGGTTTTCCTAACAACTATTAGACATGTTGGCTGTGAAGGTGATATCTGTTGAAATCTATAGAATTCTGCAAGGAATTTAATGAACAGGAATTTAATGCTGTGATGTGATAAAAGTTGGGTATTTGAAGGAAGTTATACTTCAGGCAATATCCACATGATATCCCCTGTGAAGCACCTACCTGGACAATCACATAGAAGGCCAGCGAGTGTATATTCAAGAAATACCCCAAACCAAACATGGCTGTGGCAGCCCCAGTTCCCAGCATGCCTAGAGCCAGGAAGTACCGCAGGTTCATCCGTTCAGCAATATGGCCACTGAAATACGTAACATGATTTTGTACATGTAGCTCCTTGATAAATGCTGTCAGCTGTCATGGCAACTGGATCTATCATAGTCGGATCAGAAATTCAGGTTTCATCTACCATTAATTAAATGGAACATACAGGTGGATGAGAAGGTAAATCCATAAAAATGATAGTCATATTTATATGATTGCTGTTGCCGGATATACTTTGATATCCAGCCCAGCCTGAGATTTTTCCTCTTCCCTGCTCAGGGGTGGAAATAACCCATTGCCCGACGTCCGAGTCCAGTGTTTTTTTCTGTTGGGCAAGCAAATTTGTATATCGAACTGTACCGGTGTCCAGTTGACTTTCCAACGTTAATTATGTTGTTTATTTAAAAAGTCAACAAGAAAACCGCCGGTATAGTGGAAAAATTATCAGGGCAAGTGATTTTACATGTGCCACTGTACCGGATCACACTAGCAATTTTAAAGTTATTTCCACCCCTGCTGCTATTTCTTTATGTTGGAATATAATTGTCAGGATTTAATGAGTCGATGAGTCATTTCTGATATATTCATACATTATCAATAGGGTTGGGCATCGCCAAAATTTTCGTATTGCGATATATTGCGATTTGTGTTGGCGCACTGCAATACGTATTGCAATATATTGTGAAAGTGTGACACATGGTTTAGCTCTTTCAACACCAGTCAACCAGAGACTTTTACTGCCATGACACCGAGTTCCCAGAGACCCTGAGGCCATAGATGAGGCCTATGTTTATCAAGGAAAATATCAGCTTGTAAAACATTATTACTGCTACATGTCATGCACCATTTGAAAGGTTTAATCCCAACATATTTATAAATATGAAAGTTATTTTTTATCATAGTATTCAAATAAAACAACAATTTAAATAAGTTTAATGAAAATGTAAGTTTACACATTATAAGGTCTAGATAAACCACGAAGGAAGCAAAAAATGCAGCCTTTTCTTTTCCATTTGTAATATGTCATAATATCCCCTTACCTTTTTCTTCTTTGTTTTCATTTTTACGAAAATTATTATAAGAAGGTGTCTGAAATAATATGTATGGACGGCTATTTCCCGATAATTTGATAAGAAGACCCATACCTGTATAGTACGCCATTACTGCCAAAAATCGTGGCAATCGTGTGTAGTAAAATGTGACATGAGTCAAATACATTTGTGACTAATTCGTGTTATTCCGGACAATCCGAATAGCGTAGGTCAAGGAAAGACGCGTGTAGTTACGAATGGAGTCAAATAGTTTCTTTGCGCTTATCGATTTTCATTATTTGTTTCGGGATTATAAAAATGTAATTTTTAGAGTAAAATTGATATTTTATACTTATCCTGACTCATGCTCTTTTGCTTGTCTTCTTCTTCTTGCGAACATAGTGGAACACTTGTATCTCCTTATTTGAAGCTCCCTTCAAAATAAAATCACTAATTGGTACTCACCACGAGTTGCTCCCCTTTGCTTCCCCTGGCGGGAAAGGTGTCGCCACCCTCTGGCCATGTGCTCCACTCTCTCCTGATTTAGCGAGCCCAACACTTGAATTTACAGGGAAATCCAAAGTGTTATGTGGGGAGGATGGGAGGGCTAACCTCATGAGTCAGGATAAGTATAAAATATCAATTTTACTCTAAAAATTACATATTTTTCCTTATCCTGACTCATGCTCTTTTGCTTGTAGCATCCTACGGAACGGAGGTGGGTAACATAATACTTTGGATTTATAATTAGTGATTTTGTATAGATATACTGTAATATCCCCTACGGGAACTTCATGAAGGCTTAGATTTAGGATGTTTCCTGTATAAAGAAAACCATAGGTTATATAAAGCCATTAAAGGGGAATTACATTATGAATATATTGAACAATACATATAAATTATATAAATATATATAGGTGACTCTGATAGAGGCACTGAAATTGACTATACCAAAGTATATGCTTAAGGTTGAATACTTAAGCTGAACATATATACATAGCCCTAAAACTCCGTAGAGTTATAAGCTAGATGAGTATGTATAAAATACATATTAATCTTGTGAGGATAATATTTTAACGCCTACGAGGGACTGTCAGTTGCTGAGCGAGGACCAGTGGTCCGAAATGGTGAATGCCAGAGACATCTTCTGTAGTGATGTCTCTCAGGTAGTGATTAGCAAATACCATGTTAGATTTCCAATAGCATCCTTCCATAATGGTGTTCAAGGAACAGTTACGTGTAGTAAGGCGAGGGTAGAGGCCAGTGCCCTGATCTCATGTGGATTTGATGCTGTTGGTGGGTCCAAGCCTGCTGCCTTGTAGGCACGGAGAATGACAGTCCTTATCCAAATAGATATTGTGGTCCGTGACACTTCTGTTTGATTAAGTGGCGATAAGGGGATGAATAAGCGTTTGAGAAATCTTCTCCTTGTTTTGGATCGTCGTAAATAAACTTTGGCTCTTACCGGACACAGTGATAGGTCTTGTGTATCTTCTGATCCGAGAATAGAGGATAGCTACCGGGATGTGGAATAATCTGTCTGGTTGACCTGGCAGTTGATTTTTATGCGATGAAATCCCATCTTAATCCGAGGTGCTGTGTTATGATTGTCATCAAACTGTATCCTCTCGTAATCCAGAAGCGTGAATTTCAGACATTCTTGCTGCTGTGGCTAGCGATAGCAGAAACAGTGTTTTCTGTGAGAGAAATTCAAAGTTTGTCGATTCCAAGGTTCATAGACCTCACTCGTGAGGTGTTGTAACACTACATTCAGATCCCAAGCTGGGCGTGGAACTTCCGCTTTTGGTCCTCCAATCGAAAGCTCGTAGTAAGGCCAGTAACTCTGGTGATCTTGTCAATTTGACACCCGTTCTCATGGTGATTACAGAACTAAGCGGCGGCAAGATATGTTGATATCGTTGAACCTTTTAAATGTTTGTTTTGGCGTAGGTAACACAAATAGTCTGCCACTTGAGGTTGTGAAGCCTCTCTTGCTGTAAACCCTTTCTTTGTTGCATAATTTTTGAAACTGTGCCACTTGTCGTGCGTACAAGTTCTACGAGTTGAGTAACGTAAAAGGCAAGCGTGACTGCTTTTGCCGCCTGGCAGAATATCCTCTTGTTTAAACACATTTGTATACAGTCCATACGTGTAGTTGGAACATTGCTGGGTTTCCGTGCACTTGTTTGGTGTGAGGATGAATTAACAGGTTTGGCGCCGCTTTGGGTAGCTCCAGTGTTGGTTGACCGATTTCTTGAATTAGTATGGGAAACCACGTTCTGGCCGGTCAGTAGGGCTTGACCAAAGTGAGTTGTAGGCTCTGTGTTTGTCTGATTTTCTGTAATACTTGAGGTATTATTGCTGGCGAGCGAAACGCTGCACGCATTGAGGCCTTCCATGATAGACTTAGAGCCGTCCGTTGCCCAAGCTTGGGGGTCTGGGACTGGTGACACGAATGTCGGTAGCTGATTGTTGAATCCCGTGGCGAATAGGTCTATTAGCTTGGCTCTAATTGCTTGATTATCTGTGCAAAATTTCCTGTTGATCATCCACTCTGTCGGTGATGGTAGATGAGGCCGAGAGAGAGCCGTCTGCTAGTATATTTCTGGCTCGGGAATGTGCACTGCTCTGACATGTAGATTAAGATCTTGTATTAAATCGAACAGTTGAAAGTTTAGGTTCAAAAGGTTCATCGATCTCGTTGAGCCTTGCTTGTTTATGTAGAACGCCACTGTCAATTGTCTGTATGGATCATTAGGCGGCGCATTTTGTAGAAATGTGCTCCAATGTAGAATGGCGTTGATTACAGCTTTCATTTCTAGACTGTTTATATGGAGTTTGCATTCTTGCTGATTCCATAACCCTGATATCGTGTGGTTGGTGAGATGAGCTCCCAACCTTGGAGTGACGCTTCTACATATAGATGGGTTTTGTATTCCTGCTCTGCTAAACAAATCCCCTTCGCAGACATTCGATTTCTTGGTCCACCATAGTAGATGCGGTCTGAGATGTTTCGGTAGACTGAATGGTTGTACATCGTTGAGATGTCGTTGATGAGGACCTGTAGGGGACGTAACTGTAATCTGCCTGTGACAGTCATGTCTTGGGCTGATGTGAGAAGACCTAGTAGGCTCTGCCATTGTCGCGAGTGGTAGCGGAGAGAGTAGAGCTGGTGGAATGGTCTGCTGTATCTTGAGCCAACGGTCTTCTGGTACCAAAATACGGTTGCGATTTGTGATGAATCGAATACCTAGGAACTGCAGGTCTTGCGATGGTACTAGGTCCGACTTGCGTAAGTTTACTAACCAACCTAGTTGTGTTAGTAGCTTTATGATGTAATTTAACTGTAGTTTGAGGCGAGTGGATCTTGATCTACTTGTATCCCGTCGTCGAGGTAAAACGACTCGCGAGCCCTTGACGATGTAGAAATTTGATAATCGGTTTCGTTATCCTCGTGAATAGCCAGGGGGCTGATGATATTCCGAATGGGAGTACTTTCCACTGGTAATGTAGCCCTTCTAGAGTAAATCGTAGGTATTTCCTGGAATCGGGATGAATGGGGATGTGCAGGTAGGCATCCTGTAGATCTATGCTGCCCATGTAGTCCATAGGACTAATCATCTGGCATAACTGAGGTAAATGTATCATGCGAAACCCGATTGGTTTTCGTAGATAGTTCTTGTTGAAAAAGCTCATGTTGTAGATGAGTCTGTATTTCTCCGCGGAGTTTTCTTGGGAACTAGGAAAACTGGGGAGTAGAAACCTGGTTCGACGTTTGCTTGATCTATTACTTCTATGGCCTGTTTGGATAGGGGTGATGAAACAGCCTCTCTTATCTTTGGTAGTTGTTGGCGCTTTGTAAATCGAATTTGGGGGTTTGATTGTCAGCGGAGGCTTGGCCTGTAGAGGGATCTGAAAATCCGTGTTGAAGAATGTTGGAGGCGTAAGGGTCTTGCAATATTCCCCAGTTTTCCCAGTGTAGTTGGAGGCGCCCACCCACTTGAGCTGGCTGTACTGGAACAGCTGGGGTGGAAGACTCCAGTCGTTCGAACCTGTGTTTCAGCTGCCTATAATTGCGGGAACCTCTGGGTGTCCTGCCTCTTCCTGATCCTCCTCTATAGTTGCCATATGGGCTTACCTAAAAGAATCTTTACCTCTAGAGCTGGCTATCTTCCTGTCTCTTGCTCTTTGTAGGCCCGTGAACTTAGATCTGCCTGAGTATCTTTGTGAAGTCTGACCTAATGACGCTGGCTAGTGTGTCCATCGATCTAATCATAAGGACTTCCCTGGAATCCTTAGAGACTTCCTTGGCGACTTTGTCGATTTCTCCGTCAAAGATGGATGTTGTCGACCACGGGCTGTATAAAGTGGGCTGTAAAGTTCTCCCCAATTACAGGAGGCGAGGAGGCCTTGACGACGAGCTAAGGTCAGTGCTGCTGAAACAGATGTAAGATGATCCGTTAAAACTGCTGATCTTTCTTTTGCATAAGTAAGGCAGAATAAATCATTCTATCATCTTCCGTCGTGGAATCCCGAATCTAGTAATAAGAGTCTCATTGATCGCCCTAGATCTATTTAACCCAAAGAACATACGCCTCGTCATGGTTTCTATATGAGCCAACTTGCGATCATCCATCTTGTAAATCTTGTTCTTTACATCGCTGATGATCTTATAGTTCTCATCGATGTCCTGGGCCTTGTAGAAGGAGTCCATGTTATGCGTGGAGAACTTCTTGGCTTGAAAGTTGGGCAGATGTGGTATCTGAACTTTCGTAGCTTTCTGGAAAGCTGCATCTAGATTCTGTGGCACTGCCGCAATCGGGTCGATCGGGGTAGAGTGATTGCATCTGGATCATCTTCCTTCATCAAATACGCCTGGCGCTGTATTGCCACTTTAGATGGTGATGTGAGATCTAGGTTATTGACCATCCAATACCGTATCTCTGCATCAGAAAATATGATTCCTCCATCATCCTCAATACCATCATCATTAACAAATTGTAGATGCTCTTCGACCGCGTAGCTGTCTGTATATCTGATGAGGTTTGTGGCGATCTAGTTGACTTGTGCGCGCTTCTATGTGGAGATCTGACGGGTGATCGACCTGGTGATGAACGGTGGAGATCGCCTATGGGATGATCTTCTCGGAGACTTGTGAGGTGAATGTTGATAGCCGAAGCTCTTCGGCAGTCCCTCGATGTTCTTCTAGATGATGAAGATCTGGAATCATATGTCCTTCGCGAATGCCTTCGCGAAGCTTCATTTGGCGTCCGTCCGGGGATCGATGATATGACCTTCGCCGAAGGCTTCCGTGATGTCTGATGGTCTGAGTCCATATCTAGAGATGAAATCGAAGATGGTGATGATCTCTCCCGCCGCTGGAAGGCCTTCGCGAAGGCTGTACATCTAGGTCCTTCGTCAAGGTGGTGCGGGACTTCCTTCGCGAAGGTGACATCGCCTTGGCTGCTACGCTGACGGGGGTGCCTCTGGGGTGCTGTCTCACGTTGGAGCCTTCGCTGGCGTTCGGACCCTGCTTGGCGCAGTTTGTAGTGGTCCTCCATGATGTTCATAATCTGCCGCGATCATGTCTTCTGGGATGATCTGTGACCTAAGTCGGGCGCCTCTTATCTGCAATGGGGTTCACATCAATGACGCCTGACGCGGGTGTAGAGGCATCAGGCTGCATGGTGATCTCTGCAGAAGTCACAGTCGCTGACACCGGGTCAGCTTCTTCTGCCGTGAAGTCGGGATGATTATCGGCTGATCATCGTAGAGGCCCAATTCTGCTGCTGGAACGATCTCGGCTGAAAGTTCTTGCTGTCTTTGTAGATTTCCTTTGGAAGTCTGGCGCTGCCCTGGGTGTCCTCAATCTGGCGCTGAGACGACGATGAGGCCCTCTTAGACTTGGTCTGCAATGACGAGATGTCTGGGGAGGCCGGTCGCTTTTCTTCGAGGTAACGGATCGCGCCCCACGTTCCTCTGCCGCGGGGTCTCTAGCAGAACACCAGACGGGGAGAGGGTCGATCGCTAGCAGCTGACTGGATGGAATATCTGGACTCTCTGCCATGTTTTGCCCTTGTTTGCGTGATCTATCTGCAGCACGCCTTAAGACTAAAGATGATATTTATTAAATGCAGAATGAGATAAATTAAGGCAGTAACTGCAACGTGAATTAAACGCACACGGCGTAGAACAACTAGGGCATATTACATGTGGATCGGAGGCAGAAAAACGTAATCTACAAATCGTACAGATTTTCATCAACGTAAAGCTAGCTGAACAATCACGAATACACGTGAATAAACAGTAGAAATACGATAATTAATCAATACAAATAGTAAAGGATACTAGCTATACCTCTATAGTAACCTATGAGAGGTAAAAACTAAGAGATTATCAAAGGATATGGTGTGTAAGGAGACACAAGGCGCTCTCACATCCTGCTCACTGGGCGAAGAAGGAGAGAGTGGAGCACATGGCCAGAGGGTGGCGACACCTTTCCCGCCAGGGGAAGCAAAGGGGAGCAACTCGTGGTGAGTACCAATTAGTGATTTTATTTTGAAGGGAGCTTCAAATAAGGAGATACAAGTGTTCCACTATGTTCGCAAGAAGAAGAAGACAAGCAAAAGAGCATGAGTCAGGATAAGGAAAAATTTATCTTTTTACTGATATTTGTTAACGACATAAGAAACTTACTTAACATGCCTTTCAAGGAGTGGCCATGTTTGGAAATTCAGAGTTATTTATCTTTGGAAATATTCCTAAACTAAATCTTTGAAGGGCATTTAGAAGTGGAACGCATAAGAAAAGCAAGATAACACGAAGTTTCGGAGTGTATGCTTGCTCCTGATGAAAGGTACACTGATCCTCTCCCCACTTGGAATGAATGAATGAGGAAGGAGCAAGCATACACTCCGAAACGTCGTGTTGTCCACAATAAAGAAGTTGACATCCATAAATCTTGCTTTTCTTATTCCTAGACTAGTCGTGAACATGGCCACGAGATAGGTACGAGTCGCCATCCGGCTTGCCGGAATGACACGAGTTGTTACGAATGTCTGCTATAAGGCTCGTGATTGGTCAAAATCATGCAGGTGAGCTAAGGCAACCAATATTATTACAGCAATGGATACCGTCCTCGTAAACGAAAACTTTAGATTTAGACGAAAGTTTTGGGTAAAATCATCCTATTCTGAATGGGTTACGCACAAAATCACCACCTTATGGAACTTAGTTGTCGTATCGTGCTTGGTTATGACCTGTGACAAAAACGCTTCAAGCATATACTTTAGCATTAAACATCGTGTGCAAGCGTGAAGTTCTAGGCGACGAAAGCCGAAATGTTATTTGGCTTACATATCATGATCCCACTCAAAAAGATGGAAAATAGTAACTTCTGATTTGCGTTTGACAACTTTTATGAGTACTGTTTTTGATTTTATTCTTAGTTTATTCAATTGGTTTAATTATTTCTTCAAAACATCGTTACTTTGCTCTTTGACAACTTTGATGTGGACCTTTTGCCGAATCGTTTATGTTTTCAATATCATTGCGAAAAATAGTTTATATTTCTAATTCTGTCGATATATATTTTCATTTGAAATGTAATAAGTATTTTCAGACATTGTGAAAAGTGATAGATTTAATAAGTGAATCATATGTTTGGTAGGTTCCTAAAATTATATACCATTTTGATGCACCTACTGCCAGGCCTGTTTACCGGCCTTTCGGTGTCTGGGGACTTGTGATGTCTTGGACGGTTTTCCGACCTACGGTGTTGAATGGGTTATCTAAGGTACTGAAATTACTGTCGTCCTTTCATTTGAAACAATGCCACTGGCCACTGTCAGCACACAGATGTGATTGACCAATATACTATCTCAAAACTATTAATGCATAATGATATAAAGGAAATACAAATCTTATTAGTATTTTTAACTACATCACGAAAATTATCGATCATGGTCACTGAAATTGCTGATCGTACCAGGTGAACCGGTTTATCGTATTGCGAAGTTCGAATTGTAATATACCGGTTAACCGGTATTATCGCCCAACCTTATTTATCAACCAACATTCAAGGGTTGAACAGAGCTAACTCTCCTGTGTGTCAACTCACCTGATGAACATGCAGATGGCGTTAGGAGAAAAGAAATGCATAGTCCAAACTTCCCAGCAGTTCCTCATAGTTGTTCTGATCTGGTAACAACAAGAACCTCCTTATGAACTGATCCACAACTCTTGACATAGACTGACTGACTGAGTTTGGTTTTACGCCGCTTTTAGCAATATTCCAGCAACATCACGGCGGGGGACACCAGAAATGGGCTTCACACATTGTACCCATGTGGGGATTCGAACCCGGGCCTTCGGCATGACGAGCCAACGCTTTAACCATTAGGCTACCCCACCGCCTCACTCTTGACATAGAGAAAAAGTATTTCTGATACAGTACATCACAACACTTACCACTTTCTCAGGAGACATTAGTAATAAGAGTTAGCATCAGTGAAGCAGTATTTACTGTGAAAGAAACAGGTTCTGACAATTACATTTACAACAACTACAGATATGAATACAGTCATCCCCTGCAATAATGCCCTTTGTGATTCCACGGTCTCTGTTCAATCTGTGGCTCCACCTAAATCCACGTTTGTATCTGCAGTATGTAGGTGTACAATAAGGTTGTATGTTTGCCTGGCAGCTGTTTATTGTCAGTTACCATGGTTACATCATAGTTATGATTATTAGAAAATATTACATTTCACTTATTATGTCCCGGGTGTTTTCACAATGAAGAACTTATCACAAAGGACAATGCTTTACCTTAATTGCATAGTGCCTTAGCCTTTAATGGTTTCATATTCTAAAATGAGCACCCCTTTATCAAATTCCAGCTAAACAATTGAGTACTTTCTTGAACATCCAAATGTATATATTTCTCTTCACTATGTATCTCATAGTTTTCATACCATTCTAGGATTTATTAAGCCCTCTCTGGACAACAGCATCAGCCTTTCAGGAAGACAACCTTACACCCTGTGATATATGTGCTAGTGACTCACACTGATTACCGGTCAGTACATCACGTTACATAGGCCCATGATAACACTTATCATCAACTTGAATGGTACAGTTCTCTTATTATCTCCCTACAATGAGAGTGTGAATTTCATTCTGAGTTCTGGCACCAAAATCCAAAACTAGATTACGAAGTCTGGACCAAACAAACCATTGCAACAACCAGACCATTTTGTCTGAGGGTGTTGTGGGCCTATTCTGATTCTTCCTGGGGAAAAACTGCAAGTACGACAAACACATTATTTGTTACTTACCAAAGGGGGCCCAATCACACCATGTCTTGTAGTTTGAAATGTTTTCATTGGATGGAAATAGAAAGTGGCTACAGTTACGATGAAATACACTCTGAAAATGACCAAAAAAATCTATTTAATTCACATCAAATTTCTCATAAACAGCATAAAAACTCAGCATATGGCAATAGCGATGTTGAAATATTTTAGTCTGTATGAGATGTAACTTTGCATATAAACATGAACCAAAGTTAAATTCTGTGAAATATATGGAAATATTCACTGCCACATTCTGTTCATACTCTAGTTATCCAATTATAGTCAGCTAAACCCAGTCAGTCATTACAATGTACTGAAATTATCTGACTCAACAATCAGGTGCACTAATCAGTATTCAATATGGTATGGTGTTACCTTGACAACGCTGATTGGTTTCCGAGACAGATGGTAGCAGGTATAACAGAAGAAGGTGAAGACAATGATGAACAGGCGATATCTGCAACACAAACAGCAGTGTTCATTCACACACTCTCAAAAACAACGATGAACAGGCTGAATACCTCCAACACAAGCCACACAATATTTATACCGCCTCAGATAAAACAATGATGAACAGGTGACACATCCAACACAAGCCACACTGTATTCATGTATATATCTCCTCAGATACAACAATGATGGACAGGTGACACATCCAACACAAGCCACACTGTATTCATGTATATATCTCCTCAGATACAACAATGATGGACAGGTGACACCTCCAACACAAGCCACACTGTATTCATGTATATATCTCCTCAGATACAACAATGATGGACAGGTGACACCTCCAACACAAGCCACACAGTATTCATGTATATACCACCTCAGATACAACAATGATGAACAGGTGACACATCCAACACAAGCCACACTGTATTCATGTATATACCACCTCAGATACAACAATGATGGACAGGTGACACCTCCAACACAAGCCACACAGTATTCATGTATATATCTCCTCAGATACAACAATGATGAACAGGTGACACCTCCAACACAAGCCACACAGTATTCATGTATATATCTCCTCAGATACAACAATGATGAACAGGTGACACCTCCAACACAAGCCACACAGTATTCATGTATATATCTCCTCAGATACAACAATGATGAACAGGTGACACCTCCAACACAAGCCACACTGTATTCATGTATATACCACGTCAGATACAACAATGATGAACAGGTGACACCTCCAACACAAGCCACACTGTATTCATGTATATACCGCCTCAGATATAACAATGATGAACAAGCGTTTCCTCGAACAGGGCAGATGCTTTATCCACTGGAACAGAGAGGTGGCCTTTCAAAGAGCTAACTGCTAACACTGCCCAAAACTTTAACCATTTTACTTAATACGTCTGGCAGTTGCCATGATGTAACAGACTTAAGAAGCAATCCTGTGATATCTACAGAGCATCTGACTGGTTCTAAGTGGCCAACATTGGTTTTGACAATAAGTCACATGTCAAAATTGAGTTTGATAAGACCAAAAACAAAATGTTGGTCAAACCTTTGGTTAGAAAACAGACATCATATAGTTTATCAAACTTCAAAACTAGTCTGCAAACTGTTCACACAAACACACTTACATCAGAAAACAGAATCAGCAAACTAAAGTTAACCTTGGTAAGCCATCAGAACAGAATTTGCCATGGAATGTTTGCAACATATTGAGGATGTATTGTTGAAAGAGGTATTATATTTAGGATACCCATTCCAATACTTCCCAAGGAGAAGAGAAGAATTGAAGATGCTTTTGATCATCAAACATTTAGAACTGAATATGAATTCTTTTCATGCAAATTCTGTTTGCATACACCTCTCATCAATGTCTCTATTGTAGAGTAAGAGTTTCAGGGGGGTTCAAGCCTGACACACACAAGAAAATCAATGATTCCAAGAAGGAAGATTTTCTTACCAGGATACAAATACCATGTCCATGTAACATGTAATGTACACTTTGGATTACTTTTAACAGCCATGTTTTTTCGTGTTGCTCAAGACTCACAACGTAAATTACCTTGTCATGTCTATACGGTGATATGTGGTTCCATGTTGAAACTTAGTCCATACTGCCATGTCAGGTCTACCAACCACAAAGTTCAGCACTGAATGCTTCAAAAAGCATTAAAAAAAAAGGGCAACTCAAGTCGAATCATCACTACTTTGATTGCTTGTGTTTGTGAATGAATCTCATACCTGCAACATTTTAGTTGGATCTTATTACCATGGTGGCAAATAAAAACATTGACTCACAATAAGTGTTAATTAACACATTCAGTAAGAAACAGACGACAGTAATGAAGTTGTGTGGTCTAATTGGCCCTTGCATATTGCAGTAAGACAAAGGACCTGGCTCCTTATTGGCTTGTTAGGATTTGCCTCATTAATCTTTGGATTAAGGGTCGCGTACCGATCCGTCAAATTTTTATTTATTTGTGTTTCTCATTGCCCGACCGACCCTAATTATATTGCCGACCAAAAATACACCAAAAAAACCCTGTTTTTATTTCAACATCGCCGACTCAAACCTAGAACTGACTTGTCATATAAAATGTTACCACACAAAAAACAATATGTCCCTTGACAACAGACTGACCATGATGTCTGCTATTTGCATAGCAAACATCTGGTCTATTTTGCAATTGAAGTATCACCTTCATATCCCTTTTAAAGTGGGAGCAGTGTCATCTTAATTTGATAACCTTTTAAAATTTATGAACTTTATAAACTCATTCAAGCACAATATAATTGTGTTAGATACAGAGATTACTAAACGAAGTGGTCTGTCAGTGTGGTGTGGTGTGGTGTATGGTGTGGTGTGGTGTGGTGTGTGTGTCGTTTCAAAACGCTTTTAACTAGCGAAAGCGAGTTAAATACGTTTTGAAACAACGAGTTGTAAGATAATTGGTATCTGACAGACACGAGTACGGTAATCTGTTTCTTACACACCATACAAGCCGACCCCTTAATTAATGAACTTAGACTCTCCCATTGTGTTAACACGGTCTGAAATTCGACCGATCAGCACAGAACCACTCAAGCATGATTTGACGGATCGGCACTGCTGACTGTTCAAAATTCAACGGATTAGGCCGTAACCGGATTAGGGGATTATGTAGACAGTTTACGTAATAGTCTGAGTTTACTGGATCACAGTCAGACAAATAGTTTTTCCAAGTCTCATCTCAACATAAGAAACAAAAACGTACAAGATAAAGTACATTAGAATTTTGAACCATTCCATACAGAATCATCTACACAACTTTACATAGATCCATTGAAAATTAATTTTCATATCTGACAGATAAAACTATGAAGGGAAATTAAGGAATTAAACTTGTATATTAATAGTAACACAACATATTGGAGCATGATCTGACTCTTTCAACTGATAAAGGAGCAAGCATCTTCTGCAAAACGTGTTTCTTGTAATAAACATGATAAACAAGCTGACATTCTCAAATTCTTTCCTCTAAGTTGATTACGTCTTAATGACATAAATACACTGAACTTTCTCAGTACTTACTCATATCATATATCAAATTAGTTTATTCAGTGTTTCCGTTCTCCAGTATATACCGGAAAATTGCCGGAAAATTTTGTTGGGGACCAGTATATTGAAAGCCAGCTGGACACTGCGCCATGTAAATAATCATGTATTAAAATAAAAAAATCATGGGTAAGCGAAATGACAGTCTTGACTGTACTTTCATGGTCGCAAAATAGTTATGTTTCAGAAATACCCAGGCTAAAAATAAATTTAAAATGAGTACTACAGTATGATAATAGGATATGAACGGCAAATTTAATTCATGACCGGTAAAATGTTAGGTTGCCGGACACAGTGTCCGATAAATTATTAAATCAGCGGAACACTGATTATTAAATGTATGTTAAATCAGCCTAAAGCTTAATGTAATGGTATGTAAAAACAACAACTTCGTCTGCAGCAATGTCCAAATTTTCCATCACAATATACTTCTGAAAACTGTAAGTCCGTCTGTCAAAGAATCCCAATGAAACGAGTTAACTGTCAAATAGATATTAGCTTTTCTGCAGTAATTCCGCTATTTCAAGCTAAATAGCAAACAAGAACTTGCTAGCATGCTGTGTGAACACCAGGTGTCCTGACGTGTTTGCAGTGATCAATTTACACATATTCACCACTCTTTTACCTGTGTAACTCCTAATGAAGCCTCGGTAATCAAGGCTGATTATTTTCAGCTATTGAAATCTAACCCTGAAAACCTGACACCTTGAAAGTTGCTCACCAATCTTTTAACAGTAAAATATTTAGGTTACAAAATGTCATTTTTGAAAGTCATTTGGCAAATGATTTGGCAGCTAAATTCAAGGCTAGATGTTGAAGAAGCAGCCATAACAAGATCAACCATTTGGTTGCTGATAAAAGAACTAAAAGCCCCACTTACATCACATCTCGAGCCTTCCTCGAAAGCCTTGCTTGACTGCCTGTTTTTTCTATAATCCACAGTGTGATCATTTTGTTGTGAGTGCTCAGTAAGAACCACAAGAGTATCAATCTATGATACATTCACAGAAACATCAGATCCTCAACAACCGTTATAACATCAGATTACAATCTAATGCACCATTAAAATGTCCTGAATGCACCATTGTGCACCTGAATGAAGCTCAAATTAACTGAAACTGAACATATGTAGATTCAATGCAGCAGCATGATGTATTCAGCACATTATTAAAAATACAATTAAATGAAGGCAGTTAAGCCTTAAATAAAATTTTAAAGAAACTGTAATTCATTCCTGTTTGCATAAAATATGGTTGAACACCAATGCCATGCCTGAAGCACAGAACTAATTATTTACAGAAAAAATTAATATCTTGAAGTCATTAAGGCTGCGCAATATAACTCGTTTACCGGTATTTACCGGTTCAGACATGAAAACGATACGTCTTGCAATACGCTGATCAAAAACCAGTATTTTGACTTGCATTCGTAAAACTTTGTAACACTCGGAAATCTTCGGATATTTCCATTTTTCATTTGTGCCAAATATTATTCACATTTGTAGTTTAAATCATGAATAAAAGTTGTTATTAAAGCTTAATCAAGCATAGTGATTTTGCTGTGTATTTGCTCTATAAATCAAGCATTACCTGGATTATAAGTAGTTTTTTGTTTAAAAATACTTCATGCAAAATATTGCAATACATATCGCAATACATGCTTTTGCATCGCAATATATCGCAATATGAATATTCTCTGCAATACCCACCCCCAGAAGTCATATGGTGTGTGGTGTGGTGTGGTGTGTGTGATGTGGTGTGTCAGATACCATGTATCTTACGAGTTGTCTCAAAACGTATTTTTTACGAGCGAAAGCGAGTTAAATACGTTTTGAAACAACGAGTTGTAAGATAATTGGTATATGACAGACACAGAGTACAGTAATC